ACTTATCGTAAGCTTTTTCTAAATCAATAAAAATAGTATGTAGAGTCTCCTTATTATCTTTGAACTTCTCCATCAAACCTTTCAATAAATGTATATCTTCCATAGTAGACCTGCCTACCTGCCTGGCATAAATCCAAATAGAAATCTTTATAATACGTCTTAACCTATGTTCAATTACCCTCTCCCATAATTCTAAAGTATGACACATCAACTTAATTCCTCCATAATTGGCATACTCTTATGCATCCATTTTATTCTTAAAAATGTAGACCAAAATACTCTTCCTCCACTCCTTAGGGATCTTTTTAGTTTTTAAAATAATAATAAAGAGTTTAGTAAGCCAAGAAACTCTCAAATCTCATAATATTTCTACATTTCAATTGGGATATCATCAGATCCTATAGACTTTCCACCCTTGGTTTTCTTTAAAGCCTTTTCAATTTTTTTATTAATGCGATGGTAAAAATGAAACATTTTAATATTATTAACGATATTAAGATCACTAAGGTCGATCTTATTTTCCGAAAATGGACAATCCACAAAATTTTTGCACTTCTTAAATAGCTGTCTTGTTGCCCTAATTGCTGCAATGGTGCACTTGAAATAATGACAAACTTTGCAACACCAATATAATTCATTTGATCATTAGAAGATTTCCCATCATCTCATGCTCGAATTTGTTTTGGAGTTTGTTTTTCCAAACTATATTTTAATTCTATTTTGCATTCTGAAAATGTAATATTCCAATATTATTTAACACGTGAGCATATGAGTCAAATAAATTAACTTACCTGGAAGGACCTTTTACCGATCAGTTCCTTGATATGTTTTCCTTTTTCTTCATTACATGCGGGGTTCAGGAGAAAATATAATCAGTCATATTGGGTTTCTTTAATGCTGGGTTGTGTGATGAATTGGTTACATTTTTATTGAAATATCAAGAAAAATTGCCAAGGTGGTGTACCTGGATAACAATTTCCTGGTCTGGCAATTTGCTAGAAGCCTGCTTGTGCTTTATTTTGCTTTCCTTGTAGCTTCCTCTAGTTTGTGTTGTTCAGTTAATTTGTCTTCCATGTTTTTATCTATTTCTTAGGTATGGATTTTTTTTTCCAGGTTATTAGTCCTTTAAACTGTGCAAGGAGAGGTTGGATCAACGTTGAAATGGATGTCATTGTTTGTGAGGCATGTGGAGCGCGACTTTTCTTTTCTACTCCACCTTCGTGGGCTATCCAGCAAGGTGGCAAGCAGCTGTTTTCTTTCTTCTGTCCCTTTTCATTATAGTTGAACAACTTATAACCATATATAAATTCTGCTGGAACAAGCACTTAAACTGTGCAATCAAGAAAAAATGTTTAGAACTACTTTAATAAGTGAGCCGCTTAGGACCTTATCAGATATAATAGATGCCATCTTTATAGTATTAAATTATGATTTTCATGGTTGATTATGAAGTTTTAAGTATGGGAATGCCTCTTTTGTGCATTTAGTGATCTTCCTAATTTATTGTTCTCCATGCTATTCTGAGTTTACGACCTTTCTATTTTTGCAGTTGAAAAGGCTGCTGCAGTATTTAGCTTAAAATTGGACAATGGACATAAGCTATTGTGTCCATGGATTGATAATGCATGTGATGAATCATTGTCATATTTTCCATCTTCGCCTTCTCATGTTTTGGTAGAGGGATTCAGAGAACGTTTTCATGCTCTTTTACGGCTAACAGCACTTCCTGTTATTTCTTCAACGTTTATTGATTGTATGAGTAGTCATCGGCTTGATCATTTTTTGTCCGCTCCATTTTGTTCGTCAATCACTTTGAGCAGTGGAATTAGGCTAATTGATGATTGTAGAAGCAAGGATCAACTCGATACGACTGAAGACGGTGATTCCCATGGTTACTACCAGGTTTGCATGCTTAGAAGTACTTGAATATTATATTTGTTGCAAAATGATTTTGCACTTTGCAATTGTTTTTTATTTCAAGCCATATTTGTGAACTTATTAATAATCTATAATCGATCTTTGTTGACTGTGGAATCAAAAAAATATTTATTGACTTAAAACTTTACTTCCTCCCGCCAAAGACGCCCGCGTGGAGGTCAATAACGGTTCCAACTCGATCTCAGTTACAAACCCACTCCAAAACTCTGCAGCACACAATTACACAATCCTCTTTTTCTCCGTTCGAAGCCATCCTGCTTCATAAATTCCCTTGGCACTCCTTTCCCGAGATCCTTCCCATCTCATTCTCCATTATTGTTCACAAATCAAAACCCAGAGCAAAGTCGGAGGAAAAGCAACAAAAGAATCGCGACATACAAATACCTTTGAAACTCTCCACTTGTTCCTGCCCCTCACGCAAGCCGAATTCTTCTTCCACCGAGATGAAACCAAAGCCCTTGCACGTTTTTTCGCCTCACATGCGATCAAGCCCGTCGTAATTCCTTCCACGTCATTGCCTCTTCGAGCTACTAGATCCTCAAACCGAAGCCCCTGCCTGTCTCCCCTATTTTTTCTTCTCTCTTTCTCGTGGAGTTTGCATGATCCCTGCTCCACTCACGTTGCCTCCTCTACTCGAAAGCCTCCCTGCACTGAACTTTGTGTGATCCTCTCCGCCCTAGCACGAAACCGAAGACTTCTTATTCGAGTCGAAGCTTGAGTTGCTGCTTCCCTTGCCATTCAACAGAATTTCAAACTGAGCCTCTCTGGCCTTTCTGTACTCGGCCCTCCTAGCCTTTCTATTTTGAGCCCGTGTACCAACCTCGAGCCCAGCTAGCCAGCCAAGCCTTCCCCAATTTATTATTATTTTTTACTTTTTATCTTGTATACATATATATTATAAGAAGAAACCCTTTTGTCCTCAATCTTCGATCCAGTCGTTTCATTGTTGTCAACATTGTTGCTTCGCTGGAAAAGGTTTAAAAATGGGGCAATAAGGTAATTTGTTAAATTATCCATGCGATGAAGCTTGAGAACCTGTCCTGGGGAATTGAGTACCGTTCAGGGAATTTGTAAACTCTTCCCAAAAAACTTTTTAAAAAAATTAAGGGATTTAAGTACTCATTGTGGGAAACATGAGTACCTTTTCAAGAAATTAAGTACCATAAGGGAAAGTGAAGTATCTATTCGGGGAAATTTGTGCTTGTGATTTGATCTTTTGCAGATACATTGAAGGCTTATAGCGCCTTATGGATAGTGGGTTAAATATTTTGCTTTACTCCTCGATCGCATTCTCTTGCGATACTGACCAACACATTTGATAAACGGCTGGGCAAGTTGGCATTCTTCCGACACCTCTTAACGGGGGTTGAGGCCGGGAGGTTGCCAAATTTTTGAGTAATTTGGACTTGCAAATAAATTAAAGATCTTTAGACTATTTAAATTGGAAATGACTCAAAATCTTGAATTATTTAAATTTGCAAAAAGTATTTTAAAATTTAGGCTTGTATGACTTAAAAATATTTTAAAATTTGGTTTTTTAAACATTAGACTCCTAATGGTTTGAAAATTAATTTAAATTTGAGGTTTTAAATTTAGGCTCCTAGGATTTAAAAATTAATTTGAAATTGGTTTTTTTTAAACTTAATCCTCTATAGTTGAATTATTCAAATTTGTGTTAATAAAGATTTGCAAATGATTTAAAGTATATTCATAGACTATGAATTATTACGAATCGCAAGATTAGCTTAAATATGGAACATCGTATTACGCCAGTAAATGCATAATATAACTTGTTAGCGAATAGAAGACGATCATTTTAAATTTTGAAGTGAAAATTTTTAGCTTAAAATCATAAGAGTTCTAAATGATTTCAAAGTGTATAAACTTCATGATTATTCCTTAAATTAAGTATAACGCTTTGAGATCTATGAAAATATTTAAAAATTTGTATGAGTGAAAGTTTTGATATTCTCAAGTTATGCATGTTTTAGAACATTTACATAAATGAGTCAGTTTTGCATAATTTCAGAGTTTTGCATGTGCCTCTCTAAGCAAGCGTCATCTCAAATTCATATCTTAAAAGATCATCCAGGTCGCTTCAAGCATATAAAATTCTTGAATTATTCAAATTTACAAAATCATAGCCACATGGGCTCCAAATAGAATGCTAAATACTTTAATAAATAGATTAGGAATGTTGTGCGGTTTAAGACTAAACTTTCACTTAAATAGTTGACATTTTGAAAATCAATAAATCGCGCATCCCTGTCTAGTGGGTGGGATTGTATGTCTCACCCAACTAGTTTGGTCATTCTCCTTTTAAAGAGTTGACAAGTCTAATTTTAAAAAATGTCCAAATCACAATTGTAAGATTTTACAAGTTCAAATGACCTAGTTCAATTTTTCTCTCTGTTAGGACCGGAGTCGACGGGACTAATATGCTAAAGATGTCAAAATTGATAAATTTCAAATGAATCTTGAGCATAAAAGTTTTAAATGTCAACTCCCTGATGTGGCCACGTTGATTGTGCAATCGGAGGGGTCAATTTTAAAATTAACTTTGAAAGTAACAAAGCAAACATTCAAGTAATTAATAACTTGAAAAATTAAAGCAAATCACATCCATCCTCTGCAACAGTTTATCGATGGTGATAATTTTGATTGACTTTGACTCACAGAAGAGCTAATGTCACATCAAATATATCATTATATTCACACTAAAAGTAATTTAACACCAGTAAGGACGTGACCTGAGTTTCTTGTCTGCATGGTTTGACCCAAAGACTCCATAAAATAATTGCTACAATTAAAACCTTCTGATTGGGTGGTAGCCGCCAAATGATATCATTATATTACGGTTGCGACCCAGCCTGTATGTTTCTCATTGATTTTCTATTTTTTAAGTTGTGATTTATAATGATACATCTGATTGACACAAAACCTTCTGTCAGCTAAGGACTACTTAAATTTATCTTCTTAGACAAATATTCAGTGCAAATTTAGAAAGTTTTCTTGAATTATGCAAGCCATGGTTGTTGATAATACAACTCAGTCGGGCTGGATCGACTACCTTCTTTGACTATGTTGATTAGGGAGCATGACAACTTGGAACAACGAAACCATGAGATTTTCATCGGGTTTGTCATAATTTCCCCCATAATTTGTTTTAAGCTCCAAGTGATAAATTTTATAATTTATAACACATGTCTAATGCTACTATATGCTGATTATTTAGTGTTAAATGATGCCTTAATCGAAAGTGCTCTTTTATTATAAGGAGGGGTAATTAACCATAGGGGCTTGTGCCTATGGGAAAGCTCGAACCCTAGATCAAAAAGTCCTTGCAAATTGAGGATGAAATCTATGGGTAGTATTTTATCTATTATTCTATCTATCTTTTGAAAATTTGACCCTCAAAACTCCTTTAACAAAACAACAACAAAGAGCTCTGAGGCTTTGAATTTTTGGAGCCTACAAGCTTAAATCGACCTTCATTCTCAAAAGATTTGAGCCTTCATCCTCTCTCACGGAGTTTAAAGATAGCCTTGCGTAGCCACTTTCCAAGTACTTAGAGTAGACAATTCCCATTTTTTTCTTTTATGTATGTTGCAAGCTACAACGATATGCCTTTTTTTGTCGTAAGAAAAAGATAGATTACAGGACAAGGCAGTAAGTGTTTTTGCTGTTTGATAACAAATGATATGGGATGATGGATGTTGGTGTTGTTCAATAAAGGCAATGAACGATGGTGGACATATTTATTTTGCGATGATGGATGTTGACATTATTCGACAGCGAGCATCTATGGCATTCAACAATGATTAGCAATGGGCGTCATCATTAGCGGTCTCCAGTTGCTGCCACTATTCGATTGCTATACATTTCCATTGCTTACATCAAATAATATTAGGGTTTTAAATGAACCGAGCGTTAAAGAAATTGTTTGCAGCGCTAATGAAATAAAGCTCATTCATGGTTATGTGATTGAATAATCAAATTAACTTTAACACGTCTCAGTTGCTGAATGAATAAGGTCAACCAACCTTTTTGCTCAAGAAGGTATCCACCCAAAAAGCGACTTATGAACACATGATTTTGATGTGGTAAGGATCGTTTATTAAGTTTGCTTAATCAAAATTTGCTAAGATGAACATGCTTGACTTGTAAACGAGCAACTTGATTAAAGCTTACTAATTATACTATGAATAAGCTCAGGCCAAGCTGAAACCAAGATCGAGCTTGAGCATTATCACAAAAGCTCAAATTGAGCTCGAATCAAGCTTAAACAAGCTTTAGATTAACTAGAGCTCAAACAGTCTCTTGATTGGCTCTCGGTTTGGCTTGTTTGCAAGCTTAGCTATTAGTTAGAGACCTCTGCCAATACCTTAATTTTCAAACATAGTTGTATCGTCCAGAGTGCTTTTCATATATTTATACTTCTTCATTCATAATCTCTGGCATATTTAAATTCCCCCCAGTGTTTTATCTTTTTTTTTTTGACACAACCTTCATATTTGCACTCTAATGATCAAAATTTTTTAAGTCATAAAACTTTTTTGATCTCATCGTATTGCTGTCGTATTTGGCACTAGGCATTGACACCATTAGTTAGTTAAAAAGATTTCCAATTTTCATGCAGTGGCACTTGCTAGAGTGCGAGAAACTTAAAAAAATAATAATGAAAAGATTATGCACCTAACATCCATGTGGTTCGATCAAACTAAGTCAATATTTATGAGAGATGAACCCCATTTGAAAAACCAACAGGGGCACAAATAATAAAAGCACTGTTAAGTATTCTTCTCAAGTCAATGTACACTCAATTTTGCCATAAAAGAGAATCCCATATCTTTCAAGCCAAACAACAAAAGACAGTCACACAAGATATAATGAATAAAGAATATTTAATTAAATTGATGAATTCTTCATTTAAACTATCCTCCAAAATAGCTTCTCATTGAATCATCATAATATTTTTGGCACCATCATATCTGCACTGTATCGAGATGGTAATTTAGGTTTACTTTTTTTTTTTGTTTTCTCATTTTTTTTAATTTCTCCCTTTTCTTCGCTGCTTTCCCGTTAAATAACAATTGTGCACCTTCCTGGCTCATATAAAATGCCGCCAATTCCCACGCAACAAACTTTCGATTCTCTCAAGTTCATAAGCAGCAATTCCTCACCTTTTTCATAAATTTATAGGAGTTTAAAGTTTGACTTCTATATTTAAATTTAGTTTTACTTTGTCAGGGAGCATGCACTAAGGCGAATTAAAGAATGGCTTGTTACACCAGCGGCTAAAATATTTTTCATAAGCCAAATCGACACTACAATATGATCATATGATGATACTAACTTGATTCAAGAATTACACGGAATCAATATGATTTTTACGTAACCTTGGTTTTTTCTAATGTTTTTCTATGAGATCAAACGCAATAATCCTCCCAAGTTTACGAAGATATGATCATGGAATGAAAATAATCAATATTTTTCGAAGTAACGCCTACACCCATGTGTGTTGAGCCTTGAATTGAAGATGTAAACAATGCATCCAAACACCAAGCCAACTTATCTGCACCCAAAATAAAATAAAAAAAAACATTAATTGATCAATAAAAAATTAATTATGTTTTTATTGCATTCAATCTTTCCTCCGCTTGGTGTTTTTTGCTATCTTTGTTTTTGAAACCCAAATTCCAGCAATGGATAATTTATTTATCACCAAGAGAGAGTACTAATAGAAGTTGTTGGTTTTGATCTTTCACTTTGATTGGTGTGGCAGGTTTTTTAGATTCCTGACCTGGCCAAACCTTCTGTATAGGAATACATAGAGATAGAGAAAAAGAAGGCTGATGACTTTTGGCCTAACACAGGACTTGAGAGCTGGCGGGCATTGGAACGAGAGAGGAAGAGACATGACAGAGTTGGAGGGGAATTAATGCCATGTGAATTGAATTGTACTCAATTTATTTCAAAGCCTTGATATAAGCAATATTCCAACCAATTCACTCCATAGTTAAGAAATTAAAAAAAAGTCATAATATTTCAAATCTAGCCCAATGATGGGAATAATATAACTCGTTTTTACTCTAAACAATTTATTTGATAGAAAAATTTCAGATCTAATTGCTTAGTGATTTTATTTGTTAATTAAAGGGAAAATAACTAAGAGAATCTTCCATGAAACTATTCTCTACTTGATTTCAGCTGCTGTGAAGAGTGGGAAAGTTCTGTGGTATGATACTTGAGATTTATCTTTATTCTCATATACCTGGAATAATTATCCACTCCTTTTAGAACAGTGTTTGTGAAATTGAACTTTGATTTTTCTTGTTTAGCTTAATTTGTTGAATTAGTTTTTGAATTTTGTATATTTTTTAAATCGTGTTAAAAATCCTCCCTAATGGCTAAGATTGTTTGGTTGGTTTTAACTTTATTAAAAACCTAAAATGAACTCAAGCTTTTGACCTTCTTACTTTTCTGAAAATTATGTTTAATTTTGGATCCATTTAGCTTGAATTATTTTTATTTTATTTTTTTAATTTTCTAAGTCTCCTTTTTTTAAGCATCTTTTTGACACATTAAGCTTTATTTTTACATGTTTATTTCAGTTCAAGTGGTATGAATTAGGGCTTTAGAGCTGCACAGTTTATGGACATGAAGACTTAATATATGGCGAGGACCAACCACTTGGCCTTTCAATGCTAATATATGCTTCACGTATTCATTGTGGAACTAAGCCAATAATCGCACTTTCATTGAAACAATCTCTCTCTCATTTCAGGGCTTTCCTTACTAATAGTTGACTTTCTTTCGAACAAAAATTTCAAATTGATTGATTATCAATCTTGAGAAGATGTATTAGGAGTCACCCAATTATTAACCATATTTATGATCGAAAGCATAAAAAACATATAGGAGTTTCAAATTTTGTGAATCACTTGATATCATGCGAAACTTATGTTCTTATACTTGTTAAGAAGTGTGAGCCAAAGAAGACCAAAGCGGGGGCTTCATTTACTAGTGGCCAAACCCATTTTCATCCCACAAGCTTAAGCCTAACCAACTACTTTTTATGCCTGCACGGACGTACTTTTCCCTGATTAATATAATACTAACCTAATACTCTCATGCTGCTTAAAAAAACTTAACTTGGAGCCATAAAAGAAATGTTTTAAAACATTTAAACCTAATTTTATTAAAGAAAAAGGAGATTGTATAATTTTTCTGAAAATGCAACGCATGGAGCTCCTATTAATGCTCAGTTTTGGGAGAGGAGGTTGTGTGCAATGATATCTTTGCATTTGCATCTAGAATAAGTTATAGCAAACATTTTTGCCTGATTATATTAAAAAAAAGGACGTCTAATTATAGGATGCTCCTGCCTGAATAAGCAATACAATAGCTATGCGGGCCTTGCTACAATTGGTGAGACGAAGAATCACTATCTTGCCTGGTTTATTCTGATCGAATCACATTTTTTCCCAAGGCATCAGTTCAAATTAAGGATAGTTTCTAAATCAGTGCAAAGGTTTTGCTTTACAGTTCGTGATGCAGACATTTTTAGCTTGTGCAGTGCTCTTCATTGCTGACCACAGTTTTCATGACGAAGGGCCATTGATGGCATCACCTGATCACCCCGATTTTATGTATTCAAACTAAGATGACTAAAGCCAGGTCTAGGGTTTTGGTTTATAGCTCCATGAATATATGCATCCACTTGTTCTTTTCCTTACTGAAATAAAATTAAATTTTTTTTCTTGTTTCACTGGCTTTTCTGATCTTATTTTTCCTTTTGCTCTTGCTGAAATAATGTTGATTAACAATTTACAGGCACTGAAAATAATAAGCTTATGTGGATGGGAACCTCGCTTGCTTCCATATACTGTTGAATTTGAGGGTAAGTGTGGTCCATCTGCCAATGCCATCAATCCACTGGAGTCTTCAGAAGAGATACCTTGCGAACCAACACAAAATATCACAAAATCCTCATCAAACAGTCACAATGATGTTCCACATGGTGAATATCTATATGATCAATCATCTACAGTCTTAGATTGTCGGTTTTGTGGTGCCTGTGTGGGTCTCTGGTTTTTCAAGACAGTACCTCGTCCTCTTGAATTCTTCAGGATAATTATAGATGGTAGTCCTCAAAGTGAATCAACTACTGGAACAACAGATTTTGGCAGAGGAGATCACAATGCTGATAAAGAGAAGCCATTTTGCTTAAATTTAACAATTGCAGGTGGTCCTCCGCCAACCAAACAACATTTTCATCCAAAAATATCTTTTCCCGCTGTTAGTAGGCATATGAGAGCTGAGTTGTCATATAATACTTGTTTAAGATTGAACCAAGGTTCATCAGGGAAGGAAGACAATGCTGGCCAAGAAGAGGAATTTAATGGTCATCATGAAGCTGGATCACTGGCTGTTGGATCCTTGAAGCGCAAAAGAAGTGAAACTGAAAATTTGAATTCTCAAATATATTTGGAAGGAAATCATGGTGATGAGGGCGATGGACTTGCTGGTGAAGTGGGCAGCGAACATACTTCCGAAGAAACCCTGTATAACACTCCATTTACTGATGCTAGAGAATCAAATGATTTGGTTTCAGTTTCAAGATCAGAGGAATCAAACTTTGGTGATAGACCAGAAAATGATCATTGCTATCCTTTAGTGCCTGCTTCTTCTGTTGCTAATGTCGATTCATCCACCTGCTCCAAAGCTGGGGAAGAGGGTCCTTGTTTCCCAACAGCTGACGGAACAAGTTTAGACAAACAAGATTCAATAGGATCTGCGAGGAAAGTATCTATTTCTGTTGCTCGGGATGATGGTCTTGATCATTTATTCGGTAAGAGTTTTCTAGCTTGCATATTTTATGGATATTAATAATATGATTGTTATTCTTATTGAGATGGTGAATGAGCATGTTGTCTGTTGTGACTCTTCACTGAATACCGATTGCAGTTTCATGTCGTCGTATTTGCATTTAAAGTGTTGTCATCATGGTACTCCATAGACTTGCTTATTCTATTACTTTCAGGTGACATGTAGGCTGCTGTGGCAAACATTCTGATCTGGCATGAACGGCTGAGCCATCTTTTTGGGAATGGTTTTTTTATAAAATTCGATAAATTTCCTTAATTTTAATAAATTTAATGGGCTATTACATTATGTAATAAATTATAATGTTGATTCTGCTGGGAAGTTTAATATAGGAAGGGGAAAAAAGAGTGAAAGACAGTTAGGAAAGGAAAAAAACCACCTAAATTTCTCATTGTTGATGCTCGATCTTAAATGCATCTTGTTATGTAATCCTCAAGTGCCAAATCTAATCCTTGAAGCAAAGAGAAGAATATGCTAACCGAAAAATCAAAATACTATGGTTACCAACATCAAAAATTACTTGGGTACTATTTATAATCATGGAATTAATTTAAAGTTATAACTCTAGCTAAACAAATAAAAAATATTTAAGTTTTCTTGATTGTAATTTATGTATTAATTTCCAAAAATTATTTGAAAGGTGATTAAAGATTAAATAACATAAAAAATACACCTAATCCGTTACATAAAGTTTCTCATGATGTTGGACTGGTGTTCGACTTCCCATAGTATTATAGGGCCTTCACTATCTCGGGGCTAAAATGAACTATGCTTTTGAGAGTTAAACTGCTAGAGAAAATGTTTTATTGCTGAGCTAGTAAAATTTTTCCCATGAGAAACTCACACATTAGAAAAAGAGCAAAGAAATGGAGAATCAATGTGTAGGAATAGTTTCTTCCCGAGGCAAAAGAAATGCGCAGTTATGAAGATTCAAGCAAACAAATATAATATGAGGAAATCAGATGTATAAATTGAAATGATATTTCGAACCTGGCCAGATATAATATTCTCATAAGTAGGATTCGGCATTTCAATAGCCATAAATAGTTGTGATCTTGGCAATTATCGCTCTAATATTTTAATGATAGTAATTTTTAGAATAATCAAATATAGTAACATTTAGCTCTGCTAGTGTCAAAAGGCAAGAGATTTAATATTTTTGTTTTCGTCTGATAAGTTTTTTTTTAATTTTATCTTCTCACATTCTTTAACTTATCCATGGGCTGTAATTTTGTGCTGCTTTTTATTTATGAAATTGTACCCCCACATTAGATGCACTGTAAGAAAAGGAACTTCAACCCTCCTAGAAAAGACTTTGATTTTTACAGACTGCTCCAATATTGAATATTCCTCTTACATTTCCTAAGTTGTACTTCAGAGGCAATGCAATTACTTTCAACAACCTGCTAATCAGAAGGTTATGAAGCATTGGTGGGACTACGATGCTTGTTTCCTGCATCCACTGGCTGATCAATGAAGACTGGGAATATATCATAAATAAAAATTGGTGTGATTTAATTAAGTAGTAAGAAAAACAATCTTTTGCAGCTTGCTGTCAAATTAGGCAACTTGGGAGAAGTAGATAAAAATAACATATACGGCCTAGATAATGTAAAATAGCTATCTGAAAAACAGCGATCTGCGGCTCACAGAATGTTAACAAATTGTGTGTGATCCACCATCGAACTTAATGTTCATAAAATTATAAATATGCTTAATACTTGAACAAAAAAAGAATATCACCTTAAAGTTCACGAAAATTACTAATAAAAACAGCAAAATTATTGTGTTCTCGGATTCAAATGGCTCTTTTCTATGCTAAATACTCTAACAAGTACTGACCATTAAGGATTCTCGAATAAGCTAAATAGAGAAGTAATCGTACTTTGACTATTAAAATCCAACTACTAAATATTTTCACGGTAAGAACAAACCCAGAATCAAAAAAATCAGAGAAATAAAGTTGAGGGATAATTAAGAGATACAGATGAGGCAGAACTGAGAAAGAGAGTAAAGAAAATATCTCATATAAATTTTTGAAGCGATACTCCTACACAATTTACTTCTTGAAAGTACTAGCCACACATAATTTCATTCATTCAATCAATAAAATAATCCAAATGTTCATCATGAATGTCTTTTTATAGAAATAAGGTTGCAAAGATATGACATATATATGTTAAATAGAAAATCTGAATCTATTTGAAGCCAAGTCAACTATCCTAATAATTTAAATTCAAACTTAAAATATCCAAATAAGATCTTTGAACCTTGTAAAACAAATCAATTTAAAAATAAGAGTCGTCCATAGTTAGAAGTCATCCTAAAGGGCAAGTAAAATTGGTCTCGTTTGGCTCCTTTATAGTTTGATTTAACCATTATGGATTGGCCTATGAAGATCTGGTCCTTTATGGGCTAAAATGGTTGATTGAATCAGTTTATATACTAACAATGTCCTCTTCTACTAAAGAGTTTGTTGGAGACCATGTAGGAAGTGGCATCATTTGATCTTGTGATGGAAGAAGCGGCCATGTAATGGAAGGAGCTTCATGAGAATTAAATTCACAGTAAAGGCAAATATTAGAGTTTTAGGTGTTGGCCAACTCAATTCATCCAACAACTATAAAGGTCTTATTAATGTGAATCAACAATGGGGTCAAAGATGATGATAATAGTAGCAATACTAATTCAAGTTCTGATGGGTACTACTAATTCAAGCTCTAATGGGTGTGTAGTTGGAGCAAATTATAATTATTTGAATTAGGAGACTGACATTACTGGAAAATAAACTGGAGCATAATCTTCTGCTAAATTTGCAGGAGATGCTATATCTCCATGAATAACATCTTCCACTAATATTATAATTTCATGTAATATTTCAGGATCATCCCTAGGTGCAATAATAACCAGTCTTGAAATCCTAATTCGTCATTAGGAAGAAAATTTCATCTTAAAAATATTCATAAGGACTACCATCTGAAAGAGATCGATGAAAATTTTGCGGCACATTTTGTTGAATAGGATTCAAAGGAATATTTGTAGTCCATGCAATGAATTGTATGAAATTTAATAGTGCAGTTTTAAGTTGGATTGCCGCATAATGCAGCATATCATGTGCTTCAGTAGTATGGATCCAAGACTTTTCATCATCAGCACATGAATCATAGTCATCCTTATGAGTAAAGGTGAGAAAGGAAAAGATTATCCACAAATAAAATATTCATAATGCATGAAATAATGTTGATGTCAATAATAGGCTAATGCTAAAACATTGAGTAATGAAGAAACCTGAGATAATTATTGGTGGTTGTGAAGGCCAATGACAAGCGCTGGCTGATATTATTTGAAGCGAAGGGAACAAAAATCGAAGTAGTTCATGCAATAATTGTGTAAACCTGCATGACTAGGTGAAGAGATTGAAGAAGAGATTGGAGGGCTTGGAATTAGCGAGAAAATGGAACATATGTTAATGGAAGGGAAGTGGTCAAGGGTTTAGGATTGGGAGTAATCCAATTCAATGATTGGCTAAGTGGAGATTGTGATACCTAAATGTAAAGATTTCAAAGATATCTTTAACATTTTCATTTGGGCTTGAAACGAACATTGCTTTTTTTAAAAATATATATATATATATTAAAAGGCTTAAATTTGAATAAATTGTCAACTTTGTAATCCAAGTTTGGGATCACCATTCTTTGGGTTTAACAAAACTAAGGATTTTTCCCTTTAACAAACCTTAAATTTTTAAATAAATAGTCGGACATTTTATCAGTATTTAACAAGATTCTAATTGCTATATTGCCAAATAATTTTTAGGTTTTAACATCTTGATATTTGTTAAATTTGAATTGACCAGATTAACTAAAATTTACACAAGTTAAACGCTAGTTGCAACCTAATGGCTCTTCAGAAGACTTCATTCTTCAGAAGACTTCATTCTAGTTAAAAAACGAAGTAGCATATTAATAAAAAAATAGAACTTTCAAGCCTACATCAAAAAACATATTGAAATTGATTTTTTAATGACATTGGCAAGAAAAAACTCAGACATGGCAACAAGTTAGGGCAAGTAATGTTGGCTTAGTTACAACAAAACGATTTCACCTTAGATAATTTAACCAAGAAAATTAAGACGCACAACAATCGAGATAAAAAAATTGATGCGGGCAATTGAGATCAAGGAGAAGTCACTCGTTTTGGCACACAAATTGCACAAAGATTTCATAAAACTGCATCGAATGGTAAGCCAACGGCTAGAACGGATGTGATTCACTATATGCTTATGTATCAGCTGCTCTGCCAGTTTTCGAACGATTGAGGGTCCATGGGCAGCGGAAACTTTTAGGGTTATATAATAATAATTAAAAAACTAATTACAAATTTTGGTTCAGGCCAGTTGGAGCACAAGGCACCAATGCCCCCATTTTAGCTCTGTCAATGCATGCGAGGTATGTAGACCGGTGCTAGTGACAGTATAAAGGAATCTATTGGCAGGCAAGGCAGGATTAATAGATCTACATGTGTAGGAGTGTTCACCTCACAGCTTGAATTTAGAATCCATTCAATCGACCACAATTAATTTCATTCTTCCAATCAACAGTAATAATCCTGATGTTCAACATGGATTTCTGTTTTTAGAAATATGGTTACGAGGTAAAACTTTTAATTTTAAAAAAATTCTATCTAAAGCTAAGTTAAATCCTATCTTAATAATTTAAATTCAAAATAAAAATTAACCAAAAGTAGATAATTGAACCTAATAAAATAAATTAAATAGAAAATAAGAGAATTTAAATCAGCAATAGAAAGTAGCTTTAAAAGGCTCCAAAAACCGACTTTTTTTTACTGCCCTATGATGGTTGATTTGTATTGCTTCTTTTTCATGCAAATTTTTGTTATTCAGTGATTCTTTTGTTTTTTTTTTTTTTTTTGGCAAAACTGTCAGCCTTTTATTTTCCAATATTGATTCTGTTATAAATTGATTCTTCCATAGAATATCGGAAGCAGACTCAACTCATGGATTTTGATCCCATAAAGCAGCATCGGCCTTTTTGCCCCTGGTTTTCTTATGAGGGCAAAAACTTGCCGGGATGGAAAGCAACACTCTCAGCTTTAGATGATCTTGAAAAGAATTCTTCGCAACCGCCAGAACAAACAGAAGCTCCTTCCAGTTTTCTTGATGAGGTAATTTTGACATTTCCTCCCTGAGACTTCTTTGGGTTATAGATTGCATGCATAAATAGCTTTCACAACTCGAGCATCCCGCAAACCCTCACTTCAGATATGTTATGAGTGTGGTTATAAAAAAAGTTCGACCATTTCAATATGTCAAAAAATTATAGGAATATTAACATTCATACCACTCATTTCTTATGTATTTACATATCTAACATCTAAACTTCAATTTTAACATTTGGACCAGCTTACCTATTGCATGAAAAGGTGTAGTTTACTTTATAAAAGTTAAAATAGTGGTATTTTTTATGTGATATGAAAGGTTTGGGTGTGTATATGTAAAATGTAAAGTTTAGGTGTTAGACATGTAAATAAATAAGAATTAGGTGGTAATTCCCCAAAATTATAATTACCACCAAAGCATTCAAAAAATATATTTTCCAAATGACATTTTGAGAACTACTTTTACAGATAGGTGTAGTTGCAATTTGCAAATTCATCCAATTTTTTTAACTTTTGATTGTGTTTTCCTTCTAACATAAGATGCGTTTTATCCAGGCTGATGACCCTGTTGTTTCTGTAAGAAAGCTTTTCGCATCCCCACCATTTAAAAGATTCAAGGAGAGTCGGTAGTCACCAGGAAGTTAGAAAACAGGATATTGATCTTGAAACTGTAAGCGTGGAGGTTTGACTTTCGTCAATGAACTTTGGCTTTTCTCATTCCTGTGTATCTGAGAAACTGAAGAGTTCTGTTCTCATGGCGTAATTGCACTTATGCAATTTGGACGGTGTCTTTGAAAAGCTGCTATTTGCTGCAAATAAAATTTTGATTTACATCTTTGCATTTTTTCGTCTTCTCCCTGCCTTGATATTTTTGTAATCCGATCATTAGAGCGCTCAAGACATTCTCATGGCTCCGCCCAGTTGTGCAGAAAGTGGAGGATGGATTTGAATTTTTAGAAGGATGAGTTTCTACAGGCATGATTTGAATTCTCTTCACTCTGTTAGATCTTACTTTTTTCTTTTGTTTTTTTCTGTTAGATCTTACTTAGAAATCAAATCTGATAGCTTGTTTGGTCGGCTTTTTTCTTTTGAAATGTAATCTTCTAAGTTGATTTTGTTTGATGTCTGTAAAACTGGTAATCTGACTCGAGTGTGTAAATTCCATTTGTTTTAATTTCTGCAGCTCTTTCTTTTGTATTATGTTGGTGTGATGGCCCATTGCTTGTCATTTGGTAAGTGGTGCTTACTTTTATCTGGATATTAGTTATTCTTATTTCCATTATTATTATCAGATCATTTCATATGCTGACTCGGCCTCTCTGAAATTATAATTTTTTTTAATATTTTGGTTGCTGCTTTTGTAAGTTAAATCAAACTTTTATTTTCCTCAAAAATATGCTCAAATGCGTAAAACATTGTTGAAGAATTTTGAAGTGTTGGTTTTGGAAAAATTTTGACATCCGAACTCTGCATGTCCGGACAACAGCTCGGATGCAGCAGAGGAGGGGAGGAATCGGACCTCCGCCCTCCTCGCTGCATCTGGGCCGTTGTCCTGACATCCGGTGTCCGGATGTCAAAAATTTTCTTGAGCTCTCTTCTGCTGGAAAAAGGAAATAAAAAAGAGCTTCCATAAAGTGTGGCAATTCATATAAGCTTAGATGAATGCTCGAGAATCCAACTGTTTTTTTAATGAAAATTATTCTAATTATTCCTAAGAGAATAATTCTAATTTTTAAGCACATGATTTTAATTGAGCTCGATTATTGCACTTTTGACCTTACAATTACATGACAAGTTGAATTTGAAGCCATCTTCCTTATTGTTTTTCAGAAGTCAAAAGCCAAAATCATTTTGATCTCTGATTTTATTTTTTGTTAGTGAATTTTATTGATTAATGAAATGTATGCAGATCTTCCAGAATTAAAAAAACGTTAGACCCTAAATTAAATATCACCAGAAACATTTCAAACTAATTTAATCAACACGCAAAGTCGTGAACACACTAAATCATTCTTACACAGCATAATATAGAAACAGAAGAACTGTTGAAATGAAATAGAAGCTAATCAGTCCCTTTACATTAATAAATAATTATGTATGGAACTAATAATTAATTTACGGATATACATCAATGTGGCAGCATGTAAGGCTAGCGGTGGCGGCGGCTGTTGGGCTCTCTCTGGCAATTGAAATAAACGGTGGCGACGGGCAGGCCGAGTTCATGTTCGGCGGCGAACAGCCGTGTCTTGAAATTGGTGCGGCTGGTGAAGGGACTCATTTCTTCTATTCTCTTCTTTTGCTGGAAGAGGATGAATACGTAGTGGTGGCCGAGGTGACATGTATGGAACAATTTCTTCCCCTGTTCCATTTCATTTCATCATCACTAGCTCTTGTATCATATGCATATATTGAGTGAACTGTTAAAATAGTCATCTACTATTTATATGGGGTTATTTTAGTCCCAGAGTTTATAGAATTATCACAATAATCTCAGACTTTTTAAATTGAGGTTGAAACAATCCCCATAGAGGATTAATATAACTCAATTTTAAAATAGTTGTGAACTATTTTGGCACTTCTATAAGCTCTGAGGCTAACCGGCTCTATGTAAATAGTAGGGTATTATTTTGACACTTTACATTTATATATATATATATATATATATATATATATAAGTTAACATCTACAATAGGCATTTACATACATAGCACACAATTCTTATATATTTACACATTACCATATATCTAAAGTCCTAAATTTTCATGCAAATCTTTGACAACATATCAGAAGTACCACCATCTGTATCTTTTTAAAATTGAAAATTTCATTTTCATGCATTGATTTATGAAACCAAAATGTCAATGGTGTATGTGTCAAAGTCTAGATATTGATATGCAAAAACATAAGAATTGCGATGTATGTAAATTTCTTTAAATTATAATGATATGGTGAGATATTTTATTTTAAGAAATTGAATTGGCATGAGGATGGATCCTGAATTCATTAAATATATTTTAAGTATGGTATATGAGCTATAAATCAAAAATTATTTATTTTATTTAAATAAATTTAAAGATTTTGAGTTTTATTGAGCTAATTTTATTATATTATGGAACAATTTTTTTCGCATGGATTCACCATTTGTATCTAAAATCCTTCAATTTCAATTCGGCATGTGAGCCGGTGATCCGTGCCACCTAAGAGTAGGTGACGCCCACATTTTGGAGCCCTCACGTGCTAGATAAATTCAAAATAATATTACCATTCATAATTGTAAACAAAAAAAATATATATTTTTCTCTAATAAATTTTTTTTGTACTTATCATTTTAAATTATCTTCAAAATTACGAGCATATATATATATATAATGAAGTTATATTTTTCATATATTAGATGTCGATTACGGCTTTCAAAACAACTTGTTGTTGGCGAACAGCTCGTTTTCGGCTCGTGTTAGGCTGATTCGCTAAGTTAACGAGCCGAACATAAACAAGTATTTGTTCGTTAGTGTTCGACTCGTTTTGAGTTGAAATACTACTAATCAATTTTATATACATATATCTATGATGAGTTGTATTTTTTAAAACTTTAATTGACTACAAGGCTACAAAGATTTATAATCAATTAAAAGTATTAATTAAGAAAATATAATAAAAATTATTAAATTAGAATCAAATGATGTTTAAATCTTGTCCCAATCATTAACATCTTATGGCTACGTGATTAGGGTTGTCAAAACGACTCTTTGTTCGTGAATCACCTTTTGAGCTCGAAATATAAACGAGCTGAAAACGAGCAGAGCCTGGGCTCGCTCATGTTCGGCTCGTTTACGCCCCTAATGTCGATCGACTACGTATATATAAATATCTATGAATTTTATAACTAATTAGTAATAACTAAAATGAAGAATGTACCTTTGGAAGGATCAGTCCCACCGGGAATATTGACCACCAACCTGATCAACCAGCAAATTAAATTAATTAGGTACACATCAAAAATCTTATAACAGTGACTGATATAAATAATTAAATAATATGTTGTTTCTATAATATATCAAAAAATGCAATCTACTAATCAAATTAATAAAAGCTTGTGGTTATACTACCAGTGTATAAACTCCCTCATTATGGGCTCACTTGGACTGGGTGCATCCGGATCTGTCATAACCTACACCCCAAAAAAGAATCTACTAAAGAGCTGCATGCTCTGCACAATCTAAAATATTATCTACACAAACATATGAAACAAACAATAATATGATTGAGTTGGTATTACCAAGGTATAGAGTTCAGAGATATTTCCAGAGATGTAGAGTGCGGGTGGGTTGGCGGCCATGGATGGCTTCACAGCACAGCCATTGTTAATATGCTTCGGACCATAATTTACAGACATAGAGACTGTGGGAACGAAGAGATCCACCACCTCCCCTATCACTCTCCCCACCACCAATGGCTCCACAAAGGTTGATATCATGGCCAAGAGAGAGAGAGAGAGAGAGAGAGAGAAGGATTTCAGAAGCTAGATTGTTCTGGCTCTGAAGAGAAGAAAGGAGCTTATTAATTACTTATATATCCAGAGCTTTTAGAGGAACTTAGTACAGTATTTTTTTTCTTGAATTTAGAATATTTATTTATTTTTTTATTTGCTTGTTTACATTCTTATTTCCATGCATGCATGGAAACTTGTGTAACACACTCCACGTGGGCGGTAGAGAAGGCATATAGAGACGTGTGTATGATGAAAATAATAGGTGAGGTTTTTTAAGCAGATAAAACAAACGTGAGTTTGGTCACTGATTCAAAAAGCAAAGGTAGATGAAAACATGAAACTTCGGTCGGGTTAAAAGTTGCCCATAAAATATCCTGTAACATGCATCTTAAGATAAGGGTAGACATGTAATTAATTATATTGTGTCTCCCTTTTCTCTATAAATATAATAATGATTTCATGGAAAACTCATTAGGGTGCATTTCACTTGCTATCTCAAAAAAATATTACCTCTGGAGTTCAGACACAAAGCTGTGTGCGAACTCCAATGAAATCTCTTGACATGACTCAGCCGTCTTTCTTCTAAAACAAAATCCTTTGCGCCGAAAAAATCTCTAGTTTCTTCTTACGCCAGAGCGATGTTATCAATCCCTCACTCATGTCGAATGAGAAATATTGCTGATAGAATATATAAAAAAATGATGAGACGTTTGAAAAAGAGGTGAGGGAAAATGAAAAAATAATGAAGTGATGTTTGAAATTGTATTATCTATCTCATTCATCTATACATTCTATTCTTTGGATGTGATTCACGAACAAATCAAAGTTCAACATCAAATATGGTATTTATTAAAATATAATCTTATAACTATTAAAAATATTCATAAAATTTTTAAGATAATTCTTTTTTTCTCTCTTTTAAATCAAAAAAACTTTTCCTCCTCGAGCAAAATCATATGAAGAGCTCATGAAGAAATGTTTGCCCAAAAAAGTGTATGATGTTTAGTAACTATTATAAGAGTTTTATTTTTAAAGGAAATTGTGCATGTTGCCTTATGATGCAAAAAATCATCTTTTACTATTTTACATGAAAACCCTTCCATGAACAGCAAACAAAAAATCAAGTTGCCAATAAAAGTGGGAGGAAGTTTGATGCAATTTTGCTTCACAAGTAAATAATTTGGCCACCTAATAAAGTTAATCTTAATTATTTTAGGAGCGAAGCTTTATTCTTTGAGTAAATCTGTGAATGTCTCTCATTGTTTTGATACATTTTTATATTCATGCCACCCATGCAATTCCTACGTATTTACATATTTAAGACCTAAATATTACTTTCACATATATAACACTCAAATTTTTAATATCACATCAAAAATATATCACTGTTTTGATCTCAAAAGAGTGAAATACATCTTTTCCCTGCATATATAGGCAAATGTCAAGTATGCAAAAATTGAAGTATAGTTGTTAAATATGTAAATACATAGGTTATGCAAGTAAATCTTCCTTAATTTCTTATAATATCCATTTATTATGAATCATCTAAATTTAGCACTGAAATATAATTACTACAAAAATATAGTCTAATTAAGCAAAACATCTATAATCTCTCCTGCCATGCACATGCATAATTCTGGGTCCTCAACTATTTGGTGGTGTGTTATTATCAAGTAAAGACTACAAGGATTAATATGACTAAAATGAATGGATCAGAGGACCAGGCTGCATATTTAGTGCATGTGCATGTACTTATTGGGGTTTTATTTACTTATTTAGTGAGGTTGAGTAGTAAATATGTACTATATAAATTGTGAATCATAATCCCTTGAAAAATAGTACAACAACAACAGCAACAAAGCCTTAATCCCACTACGTGGGGTCGGCTACATGAATCCTTTTTCTCCATTGCTTCCTATTTAGTGTCATATTTTCATTTAGTTCTAGTAAATTTAGATCATTTTTTTATACAATAAGCCCAAGTCTTCCTAGTTCTACCTCTGCCTTTTTTAACACAAGTCGAATCTAAAACATCTACTCTCCTAATCAGATCATCAGATGGTCGACGTTTCATGTGACCAAATCATCTAAGACGTAATGATCGTAATAAATTCTAGAGTTGTTGATTTAATTAATTTGAAATAAATTTAATACAAGCGGATTGATTAATAAATGTATTTATATTAAAATAAGTCTGATTGTTCTAAAATGCATCTCAAACAATTTTTAATCTGAATATTTGAATTAAAATTTTCAACGTTTTTTTTAGTTAAAAATGATATTGTAGTCGATGTTAAACTCGTGCAAACAAAAAAAGACATATTTAGTAAATATGGACAAATAAAAAAAGACATGGTCAAACGGAACCCATCAATGGTCAAAATATACGACACGTGAACGAAAATCTATATTGTCTCACTTCCCTCGGTGGAGGAACAAAAGTCGATCGAAAGATCAAAAAAGTCAATCGACCAACAAAGCCTACCGAGAGAAGAATTGGTCAATCGACAGATAATTCCAAACGACCAGTTGATCCAAGTTTTACCGGCTGCAAGCTATCGAGCGGTGGGAAGATCCAAGAAATTTTTATTTATTTTATTTATATGTTTATTTATTTGTTTATGACTAAATTATCTTGTTTTACATCAAATATATAATTTCAAAGTAAGATGAAATATAACAAATGTATTTGTTTTAGGTGAAACCCAATTAAATATTAAGCCAAAGACCAAATAGTTCTAATTAGTTCACCTGAACCTTTTTATTAATTGATTGAAACGTATGAAGGCGCTTATTAGAGATCATGACAGTATAATAAATAAATAAATAAAGATAAAAGACAAAGGAAAGAAGTTACTGAGTTTACGTCATCAGATTCATTGCTTATAATTCAAAACTAAGTTAAACCCAAAACGAACAAAGAGATGAAACTTGAACTTTTATTTGTAAGGCTGTTAATTTAGCTCGGAGATCATTATTTGCTCGAAAATAAATTCAAATTTTAGCTTTAATTGAGATCGGATCAAAGTAAACAAACTGAGCTATGAGCCGAACTTTTGGATCGAGTTTTTTTTGAGCCAATTTAGAGCTATACATGAATTAGCTCGAACTGATTTGGAATGGGCACATAGTATTTTTTATTTATAAAAATTATATATAGAATGTTAAGGAATCACGAGCTAATTTCGAGAAGGAGCAAATCCAAATAACTCAATGAGATAATTATAATTTCAATTGTGAGCCAGATCGAAACGATTCTGAGCTGAAACAAATCCAAATAACTCAATCGAGCCAACTCATTTTGATTTTGAGTCATAATGAGCTCTATTAAATTTTGACCTAACTCAGCTCGAAACTGCATTCAATGAGTCAAGAGCCAATTTCGAGCCGACTCTAGCTCGTCTCGAAATCTTTTCGCTAACACCTTATATGTAGCACATTAGTTGAAAATAAAGGGAAGAATCTCAAAATATCAAGCAACTTTCCCTAAAAAAATGATTAAATGTTTGAGTTAGAAAAAAATTGAAAAGAAATTGGGTAAAATATCTCTTAATATTATTAAATTTATTATAAGTATAGTATAATTTTAATTTTAGTTTTTCATTAATATTTTATGCTAATCTACAAATAAATTTAATATTTTTGGAAGTCATTGTAACTATTTAAATATATTAAATGATTAATCAAATTTATGCGACTAAATTTACTATATTATTTAGATAACCATTCTCTTAAAAATTATGTTGGAACAACTTTCAGTTAATTTCTTTTCTTATTTATAAGATAGCTCCTTAGAAAATATATGAAAATTAATCAGATTTTTGTTTTATTTATTATTATTATTATTATTATTTTATGTCACACTATTATAGTATAGCATCATTAGACACACAACTGCATGAGATGAACTACGAATTTAAATAACATATTATAGAATTTTTAATCTTCAATTCTATTTTAGATCCTCGGTATGTATATTGATCGTTCAGAATTGAGGATACTTGTAACTTACAATTCTAAGTTTGTTTTTCTGTATATGTGAAGTCTTCATGATAAAATTTATAAGTTACAAGTATCCTCAATTCTGAACGATCAAAATACATGAATAGAGATTATCCTTGGAATCTTATGATTCATTTGAAAATAATTTTTGCTTTGACAATTAGTATTCAGTTTCGTTGGCTTTTCATTCATCAAGAAGGGAATAAGTGTGCAGATTGGGCTGCAAAGCAAGGGATGAAGACTCAAAAAGCTATTTTTACTAATAAATTCCCTAAAATTCTTAATTGTTTTATTAGGGGTGATATGACGAATTCCCCGTATATTTGTACCTCTTCTTGATTGTGTCTTTTAGATAGATTTGGGTGTATTGTTAGTTGTATTGTTTATTTTAAAATTGGAACCATTTTATTTTTTTGTATAAGTTGTATCCAATTTTGGTTAAGTACCTTCTCTTATGTGTTTGTAATTTATATATATATATATATATATATCATATATCCCTATACGGAGTGCGGCAGCCGATGGCCTCAAAGGTGCTAAGAAAATTGCATTAAAAACAAATTCCATCATTTGATTAAATGCATTGAAGAATTTTTTTTTGTAAGATTTATACTTAAATTGTATTTTAATTTTTCATCTTAACATTTAAAAGCATATTTTGACGCATAATAGTAAATTTTTTTCCTCTAAAGATTCAAAATCTCAACACAACATAGATTCATTACATCAACTTTTCCGCCACAGATACATGAACAAGAACCAAAACAGATTTAAAAAGGCATCCGATTTCAGGTAAGGGTCTTTTACATACCTATCAGACACTTTATTAATTTATATACCGACCATATAAATGTTTATTTATAACCAATTCTTTCAAATATATAATTATTATTGACTTCTAAAAGCAAAACAACTTTGTATGCATAAAGTAGTACAACAACAACTACTCTGAATAACTAAATCAACATGAGTACATTTAAAAACATACAAGAATTCTAAAAAATAGAAAACACAAACATAAATTTCCAACAATGTCCCTCAATTTTCATTAAAAATAAATAATGGACTTCTAAATTCTTAATGATTGAACTAAAATCAATGAAAACACTAAACAATGAAAATGAATCTAAAGCCTATTAAAGGCAAATACAAAAGACTTTAAAATAAGCCAAAAAGCACACCAAATTACAGCATTCCACCGCACTGGAATATTGCAGGCTTTACGGAACTAGATTTGCAAGAAATAGCTCCAAGATAGCAATGTTGTTGGTCATTGTACAATCAGTGAAAAAACTAATATCACAGTCAAAACAAAGCAGTTGGACAAAACTAAGTTTGTAATCTCCCCCAAGCTTCCACTGGATTAGGTTGAGGTTTAGATGGAGGAAAAAAACAAAAGAAACAACAGTACACTATAACTACATCCTCAGACCTAATAGCTCATGGAACAAAGATCCATAGCAGATCAGCAGCAAAAATCATCCCTCTCCCTCCTATAGGGGTGCGGTGGTCAACGGCCTGAAAGGTACCGAGAAAATTCATTTAGAACAAATTAAATATTTTGATGAAAGCATTGGACCAACAGTTCTATAACTGCAAAATGCAAAAGGAAAAAAATCTCCTTGCTACACTATATTCTTCAACATAACTGCTAAATGAACCCAATAAATATATATATTAATTTTTTTTTCAAAATCATAAAGATAACCAATGCTGTTCTTGTATAATTTATAAAACAATGGTGTCATCTATACAAAGCACAATAATAAAGCCATCCTATCCGCCTACGCAACATTTGTGTTAGAAAAATTGTTAAACGTTTTATTGGCTTTAAAAATAATTTAAAAAAAAAACTACTAATCATAATCTTCAAAAGTATACCTAGGGCAACCACTGTACTCATAAAATACTTGAACCCTACCATATAAAGATGACAGATATAGTCACCACAATAGATCAAGATCAACCAAAATCCACTTTATCATTAAAATATTCAGGCCACATGATTCAGGTCCAGGATCAAGAACTGAGAGATCTTCGATGAACTTCCACCATGTTGGACAACTACACTTTTCTTCCACACTTTTGAATAGTCAGCAAAAAGTTGCTAGACCATAAACATGGTGGCCCTAAACAATCTGCAACCTGCAGATTGGGCCCTTTGGCCACTTTATGCACATCGAAGGTAATCATAGAATGATCCGGGTGTTCTTCTCCCAAGGATGCTCCAAGGTAGCATCAAAAGGAAAAGAATTACCAACAAGACTTGTTCTCTTATTTACCTCGATATGACCACAAGTGATCCATAGACCCAACGGAGAACAATTGAAGAAAAAAAAAATGATAAATAAATGAACTCATGAAAAAATGGTACTAGATTCCTAGGACATTAAAGGAAAATGATATATTTAAGGGGAAAAAAATTAAAAAAAAACTCTAATTGTAACAATGATATTAATTAAGATAGGTAAATTGATGGGATAACTTTAGCTCATTGAGTGTAAAACATGATGACGACGAAAAAATAAAACAAATTGTTAAATAAACCCTTTTAAATGACGCTAAACAAGAGAGCTCTATTCAATGAAAAATATTCTACTAAACTAAAACATATTTTTTAAAAAAAAGCAAAATGAAATTAAAGTGACATATAGTATGTAATACTTACTCTTCACCAACTATTCTTCTCTTAGATTGATTAGTTTTCCTCTTCTTTAATCTCTTTTTCTTGTTTCTTGAAATGATAGTTTGCGAACTAACAGCAGTCATCGGCAAACCCAGAGATGGCATCTGATAATTTATTTGATTGCTTTGAGCAATGTTCACCCATGGAGAAGTATAAGGAACCCAACTTGACCCAGTAGGTAAACTTCCTGATGAGAGGATTAGAACTAAAATCAAATTGTCTCCATAATTTAGGTCAATTTGCAATAGAACGTGATTTTTAAAGCTGTTTAAAAACTGAGCTCTAAGAAAAAGTAATAATGATTTGCTTACCAGTGGCTGCAGCAGCCATTAGCTCTGTTCCATTAATTGCAGCATTAGGATCATCACTATTAATTTGACTTCTCAAAGCAGGATTCCCAGCAGTAGCATTACAATTCACCGTTGCATAAAGTCTACCCTTTGTCTTGATAATTTGAGCCATGTCAGTAACAGTGGCTGAATTTTCTGCAAAGGTATTTAAAACTTCCTCATACCAAATATTAACATATTTTCAACCATTTTTTAAATTCATACAAGTAAATAGAAGAATCAAACCTAAAATAGAATCAATAACAACACATGCTGCATTTTGTTCAGCTTCTCTTTTGCTCCTTCCAGCAAATCCAACATAAGTATTCCCATCAAAAATAACAGTTGTGGTAAATATTGGAAGAAGTCCATCTTGTTGACTAGTGGTATATGATGGTCTGCCTTTCTTTAGCTTAGCTGCATACTCATTAAGGATCAATTTGCAAAATGCCGGGTCCTGCTAAATAGAAGGCAACATTAAAAAATTTTAAAATATCCTGAACTATTGATTTTGAGAGAAAAATACACACACACAAATTACATCAACTTTTCTCTTTCAACATTACAATAGCAAGTCGTAAAATATAAATAATTTAAAAATAAAAAACGCATATATAAACAAATAATATAGTTTAATATAAAGCTATTTCTCAAAAGCAAAAGAAATGTGTAAAACTAGATCTACTTTCATAAATGATGATAGGAATACCTTGCGAATATTAAAAGAACCCTCATTTTTAAACTTTACAGATATAAATTCAAGTGCAATTTTTGCAACATCTTGTTCTGCTTCTTTTCGTTGAGAAAATGTATACGGAGAAGTGAATTGCAACCCATCTAACAATATTGTAGCCCGAAACCTGGGTGCATGTGGTTCACCTTCATTAATAGTTGAATACGACGGAAGTGGTAATCCTGATCTTTGTGCATACTCCTGTAAGCGATTTTTATGCACATGGTGTCCTAATACACATAAAAAAAATTAAAACACGTGCATGTAATCAAAATATATGACAATATGGTTTATTTACTGATTTGATAAAATTAAATAGATGATGAACAAGTTATACAAACTATTACTTACCAAAAAATAACAAAACATAACAAAAAATTACAATGACCCAAACTTATAAATGAAGCAAGGAATCCAGACATCAATATCACAATCAAACCTTAATTAAGAAAAATCAATATCCCTCCCTCTTGCTCTTCATGCCTACGCGTGCAAACATATATACATGCATGAATGCATACATATGTATACACAATTTAATGCATATTCATTAATATATTGCATTGTCCCTCTCTTATAAGCCACCTGTTCTCCACCATCTTATCATGGTTTGTAAATGAGTGATATGTTTAATAGTCTTTTTGTAATTTCTTGCACTCAACAGTAACGTCATTTCTTCAAAGCTTCTTACTGTCCCCGTTTCTCTTCCTTCATCTCTTTACATTTAAATGGGTATGAGTTCAAAGATACTATAGCAATAACATAGTAGATAAATATGCAGTTTATATAAGCGTTAATTCAAGTATTACATCATCTATTCATATGGTTTTCCAACTAATGATGGTTCTTCCAAAACTAAATCAAACTTACTTTGCTTAAATACCAACTCTCCATGCTACCATTCATCTCAAAAACTCAAAATTAATGTGCCGAAAAGTATGTCCTCTCTCACTCTCAAACTAATTAAAACTTATTAGCCTAAAATTGTGCCACCCCTCTCCTCCCCGCTGGGCTGTGAATTTTTAGACTGAGCTGAGCTACGAGCCAAAATTGTGAATCGAATTTTTTTCAAACCGACCCCAGCTAAGCTCGAAATTGGATCTTTAACAGTGTATGGTAGTAATTTTGGGAATTTAGCTTGAAGATCATTAATTACTCAAAATTTGATTAGAATTCCGACGCAAATCGAGATCTAATCAAACTAAACGAGTCGAGCTACGAGCCAAAATTTTGGATCAATTTTTTTAAAAAAAATTAAAATTTTGAGCAAGCCCCAGCTCGGCTTGAAACCAGATTGTTAACAGCCCTAAAATTTCCCTCAATAGAATCACCTACCAACTAACATGGTTAAATTGAGCTTACAAATGCTCCATTATTATCTCATAGATGGTCACTGTTGATTCACTTTGATATTGCCCACAGTTAAATTCATCCACTCTATTAAAAGGTCACTGCCAAGCCTCATTTTTAAGATTGTTCTTTTCATACTACAAACTTATTCTTTGAATATGTGAACCTTCAGTTGAACATAGTTGTAAATGACATGTAGATATCATAAACATATTTCACTTAGAATGCTTTAGCTAGTATTCATTTCTAAACTCAAAAAATTATAAATCTAAACTAAATTCTTATTCCTATAGAATCAATATTTTCACAAAAGTAAACTAAAAGAAGGCCTAAAAAAACAAAAACTTCACACCCTTGGTGTATACTATTTAAACTCTAAAAAATGAAGCCTGGAACTATCCAATCAAGGTATCAAATAGTCTAGGCATTAAACTAATTTCAATGTTCCAAGTTGATTATATTGTTAGGCATCATCATGCCTCATCTTCAAAGAATATGAATACCCATTAGTGGAGCTTCCCTTTATTCGCTTTATAACTAGGAGCAATTTTACCATCACCTACAACATTATTATGAAGTCAAATTTAAAAAACAAAATTTTAGCTGGTAAACGAGGTAAAAATAGAGAATAATCAAAACTATAAGGTCAACATCACCAACAATACCTTGGCAAGGAAAAGAACCATCCATGCCTAATGCATCGTGACTCTTGTGTTAACTGCCAATAAGCAATCCAAGTGTAACAGATGACCATCAACACTAAACAATACTAGTCGTGACTCTTACAACCCAGTATGTAAGTCATGCACAAGCATGCAACCATGTTTGAAGATTCATGGGCAATTCAACAGTAGTTTTTTAGGGAAAAAGTAATCATTCATCTTCGATTTCATGTGAAAAAAAATTACAACATAAATAGAGGGGGTGGCTCCCATATTAGGAACTAAATCAACCATAATTCCTCGTGATAAAAATAATAGAAAATAAAATAAGAATTAAAACATGAGCTCTAATTGACAAGAAAATAAAAGATGCTAAAATAAACTCTTTAAATAATTTTAACAGCCCGCTCAAGTTGGAGCATAGATATCTATTATGACCAACTTGCTAATAACGAGCTCAAAGTTAGGCATGAACAGCCCTTTGGTGAAGACATCCCCTATTTGTTGAGCAGTAGGAATAAATGGCAAGCAAATAGCTTCACAATCAACCTTCTCTTTTATAAGTGTTTGTCGATCTCCACATGCTTATTGTCATCATGTTGAACAATATTTTCTGCAACACTTATGGTAACTTTATTATTACAGAATAATTTCATAGGCATATTTATTAAAATCCATAACTCTTCAAGAATTCTCTTCAGCCATAACATCTCACATACTTCATTAGCCATAGCTCGATATTCTGTTTTGGCAATACTCCCCTTGCAACCAAATTTTGTTTCTTATTTCGCCAAGTAATCAGCTTTCCACAGGCGTAAGTATGGTATCTGAAAGTTGATCTCATGTTAACAACTGACTTTGCCAAATCTGCATCGGTGTGGTCTTCTAAAAGAGTGAGCCCTTGCCCAGCTTATTTTTTAGGTATATGAGAACATGTTAACTGTTTCAAGGTATTTTCTAATAGGAAAAACGCATAAATCGACTTAACAAACTCACAACAAAGCGATATCTGGTCGTGCATGTGAAAATTAAATCAGCTTTCCCGCCAACTTTTGATATCGAGTTGTATTCACTGGGTCACATTCTTTTCATCTCCCAATTTTTGATTGAAATCAACTGTAGTGTATGCGAGCCTACAACCACTCATCCTAGTTTCCTGTAGAAGGTAAAGAACATAATTCCTTTAGGAAGCAACAATTCCTTGGTCTAAAAGACTAAAGAGAGGGAAGCCTTCAATCGATTCATTTCAAATATGTTATCTCCGATGAGAATTATATCATAAATATACGATGAGTATAACTATCTTCCCATAATTTGAAACTTGCAAAATATTGTATGCCTTGTCGTCAAGTATACCACTTATTTTTAACAAGCAATGTAAACTTCTCAATCCACGCTCTCGGTGACTGCTTCAACCCGTACAAGGAATTTTTTTAGTTCACAAATTTTTTCAACTAACTCATTAAACCTCGGAAGTGCATCCATATACACTTCTTACTCCAAGTCCCCATTAAGGAAGGCAATATTTATATCCAAATATTGTAGGGGCCAGTTAAGATTAGTTGCAAATGACAAAGTACCCTTACAGAATTTAGTTTTGCAACTATAGCGAATGTTTCTAAATAATCAATGTAATCAATGTCATATGTTTGAGTAAATTCTTTAGCAACCGGTCTATCCTTATGCAGTTCTAAGAAGTCGTAGAATTGTACTTGATTGCAAACACCCATTTGCATCAGATAGTTGTCTTTCCTATAGGAAGATCAACCACTTCCCATGTGTCATATTTTACAAAAGCTTTCACCTCCTCAAAAACAACCTCCTTCCACTAAGGAACTTTTAGAGCATCCTGCACGGTTCTAGGAATCTCCATATGCAATAATTAAGAGGTAAAAGCACGGAAAGTGGGTATGAGGCATTCATATGACACATAATAGAACAATAGATGTTGGGTGCAAAACATTTCCCCAATGGTAAGGCTAGACTCATTAGAAACGGGATTCAAACTAGGCTCAAATTTAGGACTAGAAGATTCTGAATTTAAAGATGAAGTGGACTGAACAAGAGAAAATATTAGTGACGGCATTGCCTAGATTAACAAATTATGGATTGTGCAAAGGATTTCTAGACTCTTTCTTTTGGGTTTTCCTATGTCACGAGTAAATAGGTTCAAGCGGTAACACGGTTGTCTTTCTTTTTCCTGTTTTTTTGTTGTTATGAGCGTCATGATATGAAATTGCAGTAACTTTAATATCTAAAAAAAATCGGCGCACTCTCTCCTGATATAATATTGCTTCTGTTTTTAGATTCAATAATTACAATTGGGGACATATAATTTTGGCATTCTTCAATTTGAAAAAAATCTTGAAACTCAGTATACACTTCTTTGTTTTGTTCTCCCCCTTAAAGATGAGATGAAAAAAATATTTAGGAACATAGAGAACATCGTAAATAGTTAACAACGATGAGAGTTTTACAGTTCCTATCCCAACAATTATCGAGAGGGAACCATCTATAATTTTGACATTTTTACTGTCTGCACAATGTCTATATGAAAAAAATAATTTAAAACCAGTCATGATCGATTCAGCCAGAATCCATTATCCATGAATGAAAAAATTTACGAATAACGCTTACAAGGTAGTGGCCAAAGAGTTACGAGGGAAAAACTAACGAATAACAGTTACAAGGCAGTGGCCAAAGAGTTACCCTTTGTACTAAGAAGCAAAACAAAATCAGGGAAAAATTTGGTGATTGGAATAATTTGTGCAAGTGCTATATTTGTTCGTTTCTAAAAGGGGTTGCATTCGAGTTAGCAGGCAGCTCATGATTTTCTTAAACAGTTACTTGATAATCTCAACCTTCACGCTTGGATTTTTATTTCCAATTTGTAAGTTTACCATGAAACTTCCAACATCTCTTTAATGTGCCATGACTTCTTACGATGCTTGCAACATGATTTTTTTTTTTTGCCTTTTTTAAAGTGTCAACCCCTTTTGACACTAGTTGAGTTCTGTTCAATATTAACAGACGATTCCATGTTGCACAACATGTGTTTTCTCCTAGCCTCTTCACGTCTAAATTTCAAAAAAAAAAAAAACTGAGGTTTCTCCTACCGAGGATGTGACCTCAGACTTCAAACTTCAATTAAGACCGACTAAGACATGTAGACTTGATCATTTTTCAAGCATCTTTGAGATTGGTAGTTTCTTCCAAAATGGAAACCCATAAGTGAAGCCTTTTTTGGCATGATTAATAGCTAAGGTCCAACAACTTTAACATGAGTTTGCAACATGCTTATGATAGTCAAAGTTGAAAAAGGAAATTATAACCACCAAAAAAACTTTCAAAGCAGCTTGTTCTATTTCTGAGATCTCCCTCTCCCTCTTCCTCCAACTTAACAAGCTTAAAAAGCAGCTTTTTGCATTTTTTGTGATCTCCCTCCCTCTCCCACCAACTTAACAAGCTTACAAAGCAGCTTTTCGCATTTTTGTGATCTCCCTCCCTCTCCCTCGAACTTTAGAATAAACTACAAACTTATTCATATACAACCATTATCGCCACAAAACTCAAAAACCTTAGACCCTTGCCTATAGCACTTCTTAAAACATGAAAAGTGAGTTCCGACGACCATTCAACCAAGTACTTAAAGGGTCTAGACATTAACTTGATTTTCAATAATGTGAAGTTGATCACATTATCAAGTATCTTTTAGACTGGTAATTTCTTCCAAAATGGAAGCCCATAAGTGAAGTCTTTTTGGGCATGACTAACAACTAAGTGCCAAAAACTTTAACATGAGTCCACAACATGCTTATCATGGTAACAGCTGAAAAAAGAAATTAAAACCATCAAACAAAGTGGTCAAAAATAAAACTTTCTAAAGGGAAGGAACTACTCTTGCACTATGTATTGCGAATCATGTCAACTAACAAGCCTCCATAAAACAATCTGAATGTAATAAAGAACTATCAAGGTATAGGTTAACAATTATCATGTTCCTCACAATTCGTAGAGTGCAATGGAATCATGGAACTGTATTAAACCATGATAGATGATTTATGAGCTACATGGCTTTACCATACTCATTATTCTAAGGGTAGCCATAAGTTTAGCTATAATGCATTGGTTGTGTTTGCTCCATTAATCTAGGCTTCTTGAGCCATTAATAAAACCAAGTAACCCAATGCATAATGTTATAAAAAATCACTTAGTTTGAATTTCCAAAAGTACAATAGGGAACCTACTGGAAAGAAAATTATAAAAGATTGTCAAGAGGACGTCTAGTCCAATCAAGAATACACAATTCAACCAAAATTGGAAATCAATTCATGGGCAATTGGGCAAACAAAAGGAGGAGAGGATGATAAAAGATTGTCAAAAGGATAAGGTTACAATTGTTATGCCCCTCCAATCAATACTAGGCAATTCAATCAAAATTCGAAGAGTAACTAAATGTATGGCTATAATGCATTGGTTGTGTTTCCTCCATTAATTTAGGCATATCAAGTGATTAATAGCACTAAATGTCCCAATGCCCCATGTTATTAAAAAAAATCTCTTGATTTGAATTCCCAAACGTGCAATTGAGCACCTAAAGGCGAAAAATGATAAAAGATTGGCAAGACCAAAAGATTACAAATGTTATGTATCATCCACTCAACAATAGACAAATCAACCAAAATTGGATATAGGATCAAGAGAAAAAGTGGATCAACCATGTATGTGGCTCTAGGGACAGCTAGAAGTTTGTCTATAAAGCCTTGTTTGCCAACTAATATTATGTCAATGTGTAGTTGGCCTCCATCCTTGTCTACTCCCACCCACTACTTTTCTACCCGACAGTCTAGATGATAGTTAAAATGTTGTATTCTAATATGCGTTGAAGTAGGGTTATATTGCATCAACAACTCCACCATGGCTTTATGCCAACAAACTTTCAAAAAGAATTTTCCATCATAGTAAACTCCCTTTCTAAATCCTCGCATCCTTAAGGACTTATGTGTAGTACCCTTGAAATATTACAATTTTAATTCATGATGGAAAGATCTAGACAAAGATCCATATTATACATGTACCTCCACAACTTCAAAATCATTGCAACACAAATGTTGAGCAAAATTCATCTTTACAAAAGTGGTGGTGATTATTTCAAACAAAACAGCCCAACACAATAACAAAGTATCACAACACAACCAAATCCTCTCCCTCTCTTCTTTCCATATTCTCCAATCTATTCACCTTCCGAAACCCACCTAATGCCTTCCATCTCTACATTCCGATTTTCTCCAATCTCTTCTCAAGATCCCCTCTCGAGGCAAACTCCCTCCTGCAATAGCCACTTATCAGCCTTTCTCTCCATTGCAACATCCCTATACCCACCCTATACCCAACCTCCTCGCAACCTCCTCGCTTCCTCTTCTATGTCGTTGTCATTGAAATCACTAAGATGCTTTCAAAAGTTTTAAGCTCTAATGGCATTTTGTTGGTGATTTTTTTACTTGAAAAATCAAAATTCTTCAGCATTGTTAAGTATTTTAATCAGGAAACTAAGCAGAGTAGAGATTGTTGCACAATAGTTGATTAATATTTTAATGAACAATAAAATTATAAATTATTAAGACATTATTTTATTAAACCCTAATCCACAAAAATATCTTCATTGTATTATATTTTATTGTTATCATGGTTAACACTAATGTCTAGCCCTTTTTAGGTTCCTAGGTAGGATGCATACCCAATTAAATCCTAAATCTTGAAAAAGAAACTCAAAATGGTTTAGCTTTAATTAGTCAAGTTTAATAGAATTCTTGTCAAACATATTTAAAAATTTTAATACCCTCAGGATTAGAAAATCTGGACTTACAAGACCTAATAAATACTTCTTTCATCCAAACACCCTTAAATTTATGGATAAGTAATTTTAAAAAAAAGGAAAAAATTTAATCATTAAGAAGCTCAAAAGAATTTTACTTGTAAGTTCTAATAATAATCATAGCATGGATTAAAAAACATCAGCAAGGCAGACCTTACTATGAGGCACCCAAAAAAGTGCCTCGAAGCTTACACTTTAATGGCTATAGTGAGGCTTTCGTTATTCTATTTAATTTTTTAAAAAATATTGTTATGTTACCCATTTACTAAATTTTTTGTATGTTCTTAGTATGAATTTTGTTTTTCGATATTTCGTCAATCCTTTATACTGTGTTTTTTTTCCTTTTAGTTCCATCTTTTTAATTGCTTTAAAAATTTTTGTTTTTTATTATTTTTATTTTTATTAAGTTTTTTGTTGATTGCATGACAATGTCTAATATTATTTTTTTAGTATATTATAATGTTTGATGATACTACAAAAAAATACAACTTCAAAATATGACAGCACAAAAAGATTAACCAAAAAAAGGTTTTGAAAACAAGTTATATTTATTTAAGATATAAATTTAATAACACAAGAATTACAAGTGGCATTAAAAGACCAAAGCTCATTTAGGCTGCGGACACTTCAATGATGAAGCATGCGAAAAGTGTCATGCATGCTTTATGGTGTGTTTATGAACTATTTTTATTTTTATTTATCTTCCCAGCTAGAGGCTTGCACCTAGTCTCATTAAAGCAAAAAGCTTTAGTTCCTGAACTCACCTTTTTAAAGCTTGATCAAAACAACGCCAACAGAAACTCTAAACGAGCAAGTTTCATCTCAAAAGCAAAAGATAATCAAAACATAACAAAAAAACAAAAGAAAATACATAAATCATTTTGCAACGTTCGTGAAAGAGGAATCGTGATGGAAAGCTCTACAAGCTAGTTGGTGTTAAGTCAACCTCATCTTCTAACAATTAGCAATAAGAACCCCGAACTCCCCCAGTAGCCAATAAAAAAACTTCAGAGTTTCGAATAAATGCACCTCAAAACTTCCAATCATAGAGCTTATGCCATAAAAAAAGCCACCACAGAACATTCGGATCAGATAACACAAAAACAATAATTTTTCAAAGCTCACCTACACGCGATGGCTCCGCCGCAACGGTTGGCATCTCCGTGGCTAAGGAAGAGGAAGCAAAAGTGTGTTAGGAAGGGGAAAGAGCTAGGGTTTGGCATAAAAACGCGCCAATCAACGAAAAAATTCATTAAAAAAACCTGGAAAAATTTAGGACGAAGAGTAAATAGTTACAAAACCAAGATCTGAAAGAACTTACATGGATTAGTAATCTCCATCACCGCTTCGGCCATCTTCAGACCGAAAAAAACCTAGCGGTGGAACTTCACATTTGTGTGTTATGGCCGGAGATGCTGTCGGGTTATTAAATGCAAGAGTACCCTTCTATCTAGAGTTTAATTGAAGGGATAGGAAACGTTATATCCACCGTTTATCGGCCTGAAATGAACGGTATCGCTATGCTCGCGATTTGTCTCGCTTGTCATACATGATATATTCTTAAAAGATTTATAGGAGGTTTGCAGAATAATGTATTTAAAATAAAATTTTATAGATTTTATAAAATATCTAAGTTTAAAATCACAATAAAATTGTTATTATTAATTTATCTAAAATAAGATATAATTTTATTTATTCATTCATTTTATATAATTTGGACAATGACTTATCTTATAAAAATGTAAATAATTATTTCATACATGTGAATACATCTTAATATTATGAAAACAAACATGATTATTCGGTTTGTAAGTATCTTATCTTAATATTATGACATCTATCATATTATACATGTAAATATATCTTATTATACATGTAAATATACCTTCTAATATCATATTATACATGTAAATATTATATAATAACTTATCTTCTAATATCATATTTTACATGTAAATATATCTTAATATTATAACATATATCATACGTTTGTCGCATATCGTATGTTTGACTTTTCTCTCATGCATGTTTCACATTTTGCATATTTGTATGTGTGTTCGGTGAGTGCCTCTCGAAAAAGGTGTAAATCCTCATTATAGGTATCCATTTACTCGATGCAAATTTACTCATAGCTAGTGTTTGTTTGTTACATGACCCCCCGAGTCCCTCGTGCTGAAGTAATTCCTTCCCATAAATAGCTTATTTTATTGGTACATCTTGTTTTTTTGTTATGTTGTTGTAAGCATTCTTGTATTCATTAGCATGTGTTTGCTTATCTCTTTTGGGCACATGTTATGATTGTTTCTCGTTTTGGTCGAATGATCACAATGTGGGTTTTTTTTTGCATTTTTTTATGTTTGCCAATTTGTCTTGATCGCTTGTCTAATTCGTTAGGAGAGTGACATCTTTGTTGGTCGTGATACTCAAACGAGCATTGCCCATGAGGATATCTCAGGGAGTGATATGATTTTGTATTATGAGAAATAAATAGTATGACTGTGTTAAAAATCCAATGACTCTAAAACAAGTCACATGCGTTATGGACATTATTTTAAGGATAAGAAAATGGATATTTTTTGCTACTATAAGTATTTTACATCTTACTTTAAAAATTATATATGTTAAGCCATATATGAGGCCACCTCTTTTAAATGTCATCCTTTTTCTTGTAATGTGTTTTAGTTCTCTTGGATCTTTAGGACAGGGCCGGTGTGACGACCCTATCAAAGTCATACGGTAACCAAAAACTTTACCTTGAGTATATAGATCTTGGTTGTGACACTTTTCATTAGATATTGTGCTAGGCTAGGACTAGAATAATCTGTAGTTTTTTGGACACTTATGAATATAGTGTTATGCTGGCTTGTATGTTATAGCCAAGCGCACCTTTGTGTTTTTATTGTGTATGCCGATTTTTTGTATATATAGTAGTATATTAGGTCGGTCTTTTGCAGAAATTCATGTCATGTATATGCACATACACATGTACAATAAAAATGGGAAGTATGTGATGATTTACATGATAACTTTTGCTTGCAGGTGCTGATTAACTCCCCCACCAAGCATGGCTTATACATATTGCTTGTAGATAGCTTTTTTTGCTAACATATTTTCTTGCAGGTCAAGTTTTTTTTTCCTATCCTTATGAGAGCCCTATAATGAATATAATATTAAGGCACAGGTTTCGAGGCATTTTGGCGAGGGGACCAGGAGCAGTAGCTTGTGTCATGTATCTTAATTCAATATTTGATATTGATGTATAGATTTAGAATTGGGCATGTATATGCAGAGTCCAATCACTTTTTTTTTTGAGATATGTTGCTAACTCTGTGACACTAACACTTTTTTATTATTTTAATTTGGTTTATTTTCTAGTTTTCAATCGCATGTTTACATGCTTGAAATGTATTTAATTATATTTTTTTTGTTAATCACAAATGCAATATAGGCTGCAAAATCCTAATAAAATATTCAAAAAATAAAAAAATTTAAGATTAAAATATTTAAGACTTTAAAATTTGTACTATTACTTTCCTACATAGCCTTCGGGTCAGATTTTAAACTGCATGCATATGAATCACCCCCGTCATATTTAATAGAGCCATCATATTATGATTGATTAGCTCACTACATTGTATTGCATGTCCAGAGGAGAAGCCCCATTGTTTCTCTAACCTGACTTGCCCAATATAAATTTTTAGTTAGGTGGTTGTCTAATAGATTTAGGGTCTTAAAAGGCTCCAGACCTGGACGGGTGCAAGTCATTTGTTTATTAGCATATTCAGTTTTGTAGTTGAACCCCCATTTTTCTTCCTTCTCTAAGGCATCGTTGCATTTCGACAAGTATAAGTCTCATCTCTCGGAGCTTCACATGATAGTCATATGATAGAGTTTTATTATTTTGACCTTAGGGCTACCGAGGTTCCCATGGACGAAACAATTCACAAATTGCTGACTGGAGATCTCTAGACGTGTTAGGTCGACTACCTTCATGACCAGGTAGACTTAAGGTCTTAGTGGCTTGGGATGACGGGTCTGTGGTGCCTTGACCTGATTATCTCTACCTTTTAGGATTACTCGACCCTTCCTCTTGTTGACCCTCTTCTAGCTATGTCGCTACTTTTGACTTTGTTGATATCATCTTGACGGTCCGATTGCTGATGAGTTTCCACAAATCTGAGATACAGTAATTCTCCATCTGCATTGATGGCCCGATGAGCTCTGACATAAAAGGATATCATCGTCGAGATGGTTTTGGTTATTCGTATGCTATATATATCGATGAGTCGCTACCCATTTGAAACGTGAGAGAATCATTCTATACCTGTGGGCCTGTGGCTTATCGAAAGCTTTAAAATCTTCAGGTATTATCATACGAAATAACCATACTTTGATGACATATTCTCTAGGTTCATGATATTATAAGCAAAAAATTTTTTTTTATCTAAAGTATTCATGGGTATCTCCTATGATGAAATTAACCATTAGTATAAATTCTTCTGGGAGACTGCTGACTCCATAATAAAAATTCTCTTTTTGGTTCTCTAATTATAGGTGATATATCTAGGGATTCTCTTCATAGTTGTTGTGTTTTGAGATACTTCGAACCGATTCTGTTTGGACGTATACTCTCAACCTATCACATGAGATTTACCAATATATAAAGTCTTTTCCCTTATTTTTTTAGTTTGTTTATTTGTTAAAGTATTTTATTTCTATTCAATTTCACTCCTCTTCGAATCACTTACAATAATTCAGGAGAGAGATTTAGAACCCATTTGAGACAACTTCTAAGTGCGGGCGGTGTTTTCAAAACGCCGCCTCACAGTTTGGAAAACACGTTTCGGTAGCTTATCCAAAAACGTTGTTAAAGTTTTACACTAAACGCAGGCCGCCGGTCAAATCCCGCAGGCCGCGCTCAGGATAAGCACAAGCCGCTCCAAATGCACTCTTTTTCGAATAAGGAAATTATACGATGATATATAAATATACAAACTAGTGACTCCGAGTGCTATAAAAAGAACCGAGAAAACATCAGGACGATGAAGATATTGATATTGGTCAATTTAAGGGAACATATTATAAACACTTTAGTTAAGAAGTAAAAAATGCATTTCTGGTTATTTCTGTTGTATAATTTAGACTTTTTTTTTGCTTGGGAGTCTTTTTCATTTTTGTCTTTATATATTTCACCATTGCTTTTTTGGGTTATCATTTTGTGTAATCCAAAAAATATTAAATATTATGTTGTGTTGTTGTGTTAAATTTTGCTTGTATTTTTTTCTTGAGATATTTGATGAGTCATATGACTTTATGAGTTCTTCCAGATGACTTTCATGTTGCTTTGTTTTTGACATATATGAGTTTCGTAATAAAAGCTTAATGATAACCAAAATCTTATTATTTATGAGTCCTTTGCCTTAATGGATGATTATGTTTTGCATCATTTTGTGTGTTTTACTGAGTTCAAGACTTGTGCACTGACATATTAAAGTGATTTTTTCTTGTAGAGCATCATATATAATATATAGAAGCTTGATGATTGAAATTAATATTGTTTTCTGGATGTACTACTTAGCTCTCCTTCCACTAGATATGGACTTAATTTTTAATTATATATTTATTGTATCATCCTAGTAACATATATATATATATGGAGCCCAACGACCATTTTTCTTCTTTGGGATATGTTGTCGGTCCATCGACATGCATCTTATTATTTATTTTTTTATATTGAATGTGTTCTTTAATGCAAATTGCATATGCTCACTATTAATTATGCTTGTGGTTTGTCTAGATACCATCACGAACAATCTCTTTAGGATAAAATATTTTGCTATAAAAGTTAATCTTAAAAATATCTTCTAATTAAATATTGTATTAGAACATTCAAGGTATTAAATATTCACTTTTATTCCCTGTCTATACTTTCGCGTATGGCATTCAAGCTGATTTTAAAATTAACATAAAATGTGTGAATATATTCCCCTTATATATTAATGGGGTCTTTAAGATTAAAATGTCTTAGACTCACAAGAAAAAGACTCTTACTTTTCAACTCGACTGACTCAATATTGAGATATTATTAGGTGGTTTGTCTAGTGCAGTGTAAATGATTAGAGACTTTCTTGATCCAAACAAAATTGTAATCCTTTTATGGAGCAACTTAGCTTTGTAGTTGAGTCATTCGTTCCTCATTCTTTCTTTGTATGTTTCATATATATATATTATTGGCGAGTATAATTTCTAATATGTTTTTTTTAATCCAGATAGAGTCATAAGAGCTTAAACATTTAATTTTGATTTTTGAAAAGTAGTATTTTAATTTTGAAAAATAATGAGACCAAATAGATCTCATATACTTAATATTTTAAGTAACCGAGCACACCACCACAAGTGACATATCACATTGAAAGGCAAGCATATCACTTGATAGCGGTCTTGATTACATAAACTAACTAATTTATGACATCTATTCGATCTGCGAAACCTTTCATGTATGACTGACAAGTTCTTCTATCTAATATTAGGATTAGATAAAGTTTATTTTACTTAGGTTCTTAATTACCTATAGAGACAAACCCCTATAGTTAATTACATCTTAAATGACTGGAGTCGCTTAAGAAAACTCTCGATTAAGATCAATGGTTATGCATTCAAGATTTTCAAAGTCAAAAGAGAATGACTCAAAATAGGAACAATTATTTTAGAAGTTCGAATGAGCGTAAAAGTAGGGGATGTCACAGATTTTGAGTTAAGTCCCAACGACATCCCAAACTATCATATTGTTTGACTTTATATTTTGGAAGAAAAGTTATTTAGTGTTTAATCCTGCCGATTTTATTCTTTAGGTCCTACACTTGCACGATACCCGATTGTGCAAATAGCCTAAGAAGATAGGAGGATTTATGTCGTACCGAACGACAACCTCGGAATCCTAAAAGAATTAGGACGTACGCTGCACAACATTGTTGTATATTCATTACACCATTCTAAAGGCTAATTATAAAATCGACAATGTTTTTACATTTAAAAATCATTTTTTAAGGAGAAATTCCCCAAAATCCTTCAGACAAATTCCAACACTTTTACTTGGTTAACTTTTAAATTGTTAAGAGGTTACATTCAAGTCACTTATCATTGTCTCAATGTTGACAAGTTGATTAACCACATCAACAAAATGATTCACAAAGCTGCCATAAATCTAAATGAGCTTTCTACTATTTGATAAGAAAATAATCATACCATAGCTTCATTTCTGAAATATAATTAACATGCTAAATCTCTAATGTTATAATGGGGCAAAAAGCTAACGAAAAGCAGAGAATTGTGTCAATTACTTCAAACATCTAAAATAGGCTTAACAAAATGATAATCCTAACTTCTATGGATAAAAACTTTTGTAAACTCGATAGTTTATTACCCAATAATAAACTGTGTTGATGCATTCTTATGTTATTATATGATCCAAAACATCATGGAAAACAACATAAAGTGGACTTTATTATTAATGAAATATAACACCATTATAAAAATGTCACATTAGCTAAAAAATATTGTGGTAACTTGTTAATGAATGGTACATTGTTTATTTAAATGCCAGAAAGTCACATTGGGTAACGACTTGTTGGCCAAAAGTAAAACTCTAATGCTCTACGAGACATTTGCCACACGAAGAAAATTTAGCATCATATAATTCTTTGATATGTATCTATGGGGTTGGTTCAAAATTTTGTTTTTCATATTTCAATATACATTCCACAAATTTAAAATGAGGAGAAGTTGAAGGATAGATATGTCACTCGTAAAATTGACGTCGATCTTAGTGACTAGCAAAATTAGCTGTAAGTCATAGGCATTTTGTTAAAAAATAAAGATGTGAGTGCTAAGAAATGTTAATTATTTCAGTGGACCGAATATTCATTCACTTGATGACACTCCTCTCCTATGTATTATCTAAGCTCAAGACTTTTTATTTTTTTCTCAATATAGATGAGGAGACAGTTAGCTCAATTCCATCAAGAAAGATAAAAGAAAGCATTGGCTAGCATGCTACATAAGCACAATCTTCTGTCAGGTTATACTGTGATTTTCAATTTTAGAAAATCAGCCATGGATGCTATTCTTTTTTGTTAAGTTGCCTCGTCTTCATTTATGAGCTTATGCAATTAAAATCAATGTAATTCTCACATTAGTAGTTATTTTAATAAAGTAAAAAATACTTCTACTTCTCAAATAGTTGATAAAACATGGATTTCAAAATATCTATTTGCCAAAGACATCTACCAAAGTGTAAGCACTACCTTACCTTGTCTTCTTTAGATTTGAAAAGGAGGATGAACACAAGATGAACCGTTTAGACCTTTTTATGTTGATGATGCTTTTGGGGATCAAAGTGTTAAAATCAAGATTATGCTAAGATCACATGTCATAAGACAAATAATCTTCTAAAGTATAAAAGAATTAGGAGAAAAATATTATAAATATAATTTTTAATTGACCTTTTATCAAAAAAAAATATTTATTTTATTTTAATTTAAAACCAAAGGAAATAATCATAGAAAGGACCAATTATATATAATTGAAATTGTGCTAGTATTATCTGCATATTATTCAATAATATTTATCTACATATTATTTTTTTCTAAATAATCAAACGATTCTAACACTGACAGTATCAAAAGCTTGTACGTAAGTTCTCAACGAGGCAACTTTATTTAACACTAATACTAACTCTTAACCCGGTTCAGAGTTTGCGGCATCGGATTCTGCAACAGGCAATCGGCGGCGAGTTCGGAAACTCTAAAATGGCTTTAAGTTCCCTGCGGCCGTTCTTCATTTCGCGGCTTGCTTCACCTGATTTGAGGAACTCTGACCTTGCGAGTCGCGGGGTTAGATTCTCCAAGAAAGATGGACAGGTTTCTTATCCTTTGCCCCTTTGTGGTTTTGGTTTGAATATCTAGCAATCGTGTTGTTTTCCTCCAAAAATCAGTATCTTTCTTCCCGCAGATTCATTTCCTAGAGTACAGTTTGTTCAGCTGGACAAACCCATGGGCATTTCGAGGATATCTATTAAAATGTTGGTTGTTAATTTGGGGATTATGAACTTTTGAACTTCTGTTATTCTAGGGATTTGATAGCCAAAACATTTAATCTGATGGATTTTGATCGCTTGCATTGAGATATATCTTTTGCTCGTTGTTAGGAGTAATCGTGAAATTGGAGGGAGTTTAAGTAGTTGGAATCTGTTGGGGGTTTTGATAGTGTTTAATTTATCTGATCATGGTTTGGAACAAAAACTAGGACTTCAAACATTTGTCTTTGGGAGATTTCTCACTGTGAATTAGAGAATGTCCAGCCAGGAGAAGTGGTAGCCTTTGTTGAGTAAAAATTTCTGAACTTTTAGTTATATGAGATTCCCTGATTTTTGCAGAAATGAGGTTTGACCGATCGGATGCGCTGTATTTATTATATATCAGAGAACTATATGTTCATATTGTACTTTTAGGCGCTGTTTGTATGTTGCCAAGGGGATGGAATGAAAAAAGGTTTGAAATCTCTAGTCAACTTAAAAGATTTTACTCTCAAACCACAAATTGTGCGTTTTTTCTTAAAGTCCTCACCTTACTTCATTGCAAGCATAGCTTGAGTCTCATTCATCAGTGGTCCTTTTTTTTGTTACGCATTGTTTCAACTAATAGACTTTGCTAAGAGTAAGATTCAAAGGCTTTAATCTATTTTATTATCCATCATCTACGCTTGCTTAATGCTCTATGGGTTTATGTAGCTTACTCCATATTTGGAGGTTGACTAATAATTCAAGTCTGAGAGAGGATGGCTAGATTAGGAAATTCATCTGTTGATAGTCAAGAAATAATAAAAAATGGCACTTGATGCGTGTAGAAAATTGGCGGCGGTAGAGTAACGAACTATCGTCTTAGTGTTGTACGAAAGTTCAACACACACACAGATGAAAAAGAAGAAACAAGTAAATAAAACAAGTGGTGATAACTCCAGAATTTTTTTACGTGGAAAACCAGTAAGGGAAAAATTACAGGGCCTGACCCAGTTGTGGAAATTCACTATTGATTGATGATTACAGAAATCCCTTGTCCCACATACGGGAATGGTAATTATATTTTTTAGATTAAAACATAGACTAACAACATCTGGTTGGTGGTGATCGATAGTGGTTAGTGGTAGTCGATTGATCCCGAGAATATAGTTATGTAAAAGTTATATAGTTGACTCTGCTATGCAACGGTGCAAAAAACTTAATGCAATATTTTATTAATAAGAAATTCAAGCAATTAATGTTGGGATTCTACGCAAGTATACGTATCGTTATTAAGTAATAAATGACTTTCTATTTAAGCCCCAAATATTGATCACACAGGGAATATTTAAATTTGAAATGATAAATTTACTAAGAAATTTACAGAAAGTAAAAATTTCTTAACTTTTAGTTATATGAGATTCCCTGATTTTTGCAGAAATGAGGTTTGACCGATCGGATGCGCTGTATTTATTATATATCAGAGAACTATATGTTCATATTGTACTTTTAGGCGCTGTTTGTATGTTGCCAAGGGGATGGAATGAAAAAAGGTTTGAAATCTCTAGTCAACTTAAAAGATTTTACTCTCAAACCACAAATTGTGCGTTTTTTCTTAAAGTCCTCACCTTACTTCATTGCAAGCATAGCTTGAGTTTCATTCATCAGTGGTCCTTTTTTTGTTACGCATTGTTTCAACTAATAGACTTTGCTAAGAGTAAGATTCAAAGGCTTTAATCTATTTTATTATCCATCATCTACGCTTGCTTAATGCTCTATGGGTTTATGTAGCTTACTCCATACTTGGAGGTTGACTAATAATTCAAGTCTGAGAGAGGATGGCTAGATTAGGAAATTCATCTGTTGATAGTCAAGAAATAATAAAAAATGGCACTTGATGCGTGTAGAAAATTGGCGGCGGTAGAGTAACGAACTATCGTCTTAGTGTTGTACAAAAGTTCAACACACACACAGATGAAAAAGAAACAAACGGTGATGACTCTAGAAGTTTTTACGTGGAAAATCAGTAAGGGAAAAACCACAGGGCCTGACCCAGTTGCGGAAATTCACTATTGATTGATGATTACAGAAATCCCTTGTCCCACATACGGGAAGGGTAATTATATTTTTTAGATTACAACATAGACTAACGACATCTGGTTGGTGGTGATCGATAGTGGTTAGTGGTAGTCGATTGATCCCGAGAATATAGTTGTGTAAAAGTTATATAGTTGACTCTGCTATGCAACAGTGCCAAAAGCTTAATGCAATATTTTATTAAAAAGAAATTCAAACAATTAATGTTGGGATTCTACGCAAGTATACGTATCGTTATCAAGTAATAAATGCCTTTCTATTTAAGCCCCAAATATTGATCACACAAGGAAGATTTAAATTTAAAATGATAAATTTACTAAGAAATTCACAGAAAGTCAAAACGAAATTACTGTCACTAATTTCGAATGTTGAGATATTATCACAACTAAATTATTTAACTAATAACAAAAATGAAATACAAAGTTTAAACAATAACTACTAAACTAATAAACTATGTTTATGTGATGAAGATTTATTATGTGAAAAAACATCTTTTCCACTACAATGAGGTTTTGGTAAAATGAGATGAGATAAATGGTTCTAATATGTATTGTGCCAAATATGAGCAGTTTTAATATGAGCAGTTTTAATTCTCTACCATGATACAGTGCTATAAAAAATTATTGGCAAATCCCAGGTTTAGTCCCTAAATCCGTGACTAGGCTAGGAGGATACTGACTCCCACTCCAGAGCTCTCACTTCTCTTCTCTTGAAGGCTAACTCTCACTTTAATTTTTAAACACTAAGATCAAATTGAAGATTTTAGTCTGTCACTCTAAAGATTCTCCAATTCTACACCCAATAAAGTATATTTTCTTATTTATTTGTACTTAATTCCATGAACGAAATTCTCCTTCATGGAATTAAATGCGATCCTCACTCTGTTGTAGAACTCATATTCCATTTCCCGGATCATATTTTTCACAACAAATTTTAACAATTTAATTGGCCTGATCGAAAAGTAAATGAAGTTCGGAGTTTAAAAATCATCACAATTTATTTTATATTTTAATATTGGCACATTCATATTATCTCTTCATTTCACCGTATCTCAGAGTCGGGAGAAAGATAAAGTAAATTACTCAAACTTCATAAGAAAAATACAACAAAACATAAATTTCTTATATAAAAGAAAATTCATACAACAATAATAAACAAACAACACCTAATAAAAAAACAACACTTATATGAAACTTTTTCTCAAAATAAATCCATTTTTAGCCTCTTATAGGAAATGTAATAAGAAGAAATCTCTCACTTTTCTCCTTCTTCAACACTCTTAGAGAAAAATTCACACTTAATCTCACCACAAAACTTTAAATTATAAGAATAATGTTAAATTATCACAAAACTTTAAATTATAAGAATAATGGATTCTAAATGGTTGTGGAGTGAAAAATTGAAAAATGTGTGATGCGTAGAAAGTTGAATTGGGACGATGAGATGTCAGGAAGAGTCACTTTTCTGATCAATTTTGGCCCCAAATAAAACATAGAGTCGGTTCTCTAATAGGTGCCTCTAAAAACTCTAAAAAAATGTACAAATTCGTCGAATCTTCTAGAAACAGGGGCTGAATCGACATTGACGCCCATTCCAGTGCCGTCGGCGCCAGTGTTCCGCAATTTAATTCGGCGCTCTCTGTCAATTGGCACCGTGGACGCTGAGTAAAATTCTTCATCTGTTCTGTTGGTCAGCGCCGACTCGGCGCTGTCGGCGCTGAGCATTTATTCAAAAATGCTATTTTGACTCTAAATTCCATTCTTTTTGCTTCAATTCCTAAAAATCAACAACCTACAAGAAAATATAAAATTATCTTCTATTAAAGTGCAATATCACAAAAAATGAATATAACATATGAGTCTAAAAATGCATATATTTTTGGTGTATCATCAATGACGGTTGACAGAGGTTGACGACGGTGGGCGGTGGTCGTCGGAGGTTGGTGATGGTCTTTAGTGGTCGGCGACGGTCGGCTGTGGTCGGCTGCAGTCGACGGCGGTCGACCTCAAGTCCTCAGGCTCTCTCTCCAAACTTCAGCTTCTCCTAATGCGAGGGTGGGGCTCTATTTATAGTGTTCTGGGTGCAATTAATGCAGAAATATCAACCATTTTAATCAGACGGTTCAGAGAGTTTCCTTCAATCATGCGGCGTTTAATGGACATTTGAGTGTCTTAACGATGTCTGAATTGAGTGATATTGAGCTCGTTGGATTTGTCTTGTCGAGATGCTTTATTCAAGTATAGGCTTGCTAGTGTCGACATCTGTTTGATCTTCCCAATGTGTATAGAAATCTTCCATAGAAATCTTCCAAGAGTGGTTTAATAACCTGATCTGAGCTTGATTTGACTCGGATTAGACTAGTTTTCATATCATTAGGTCCGTCTCATCGAGTCGATCAGTTTTAACTATAAGTTTGCTGAAATTGGAGCCCTGGATAACTTTTTATCAAAATTTAAATGTTTCTTCCTTAAAATATCGTCTCGAGATTCATGTTATGCTTCGAGATTCGTGCCGGATGATGAAAATTTGTTGGTGGCGTATCAACACTAATGCTTGATTATAATGCATAAAGATGTCATAAGTAGATCAAAACGTTATATACACTTTATTTGAAATGTTAGTCAATGCCATAGAGTGGTCCTATGATGAGCTAGGTGTAGGCCAATATATAATTCTATAAAGGCCTCTTGGAATGTGTGCTGGAGTCTTGATAAATCAATTAATTATGCTTAGAGGTGCGACGTTAATCTTGGCCCTGTCAATCAA